CGAGTCCAGAAGTCCGCCATTGGCGACGTTTGCCGAACAGTTGGTGACGGGCTTGAAACCCATTGGAGGCGTTCTTTCGGTTACCATAAGTGCTTGAGTGCTTCCGTCATGAAGACGACAGCGACGTTGGAAGCTCTTATCCGGCATGGCTTAGGTCTGAAAAGAAGAAGGAAAGAAAGGATTAGTAAAAAGAACTGAAGAAAAGACCAGCGACAATGATCGCCAATCGGCATGACTTACTTTAACAAAATGCGCCTTTCGCGGGGACGGTGAGTGATCGCCAATCGGCAATCTTGACTTCAGGTTGGACTTGAGAAGCTTGAGAGCAATCGGCTTCAGGTTGTCCACACGACCGTCTTCATTCAGGTGGCCCGTCGTTGTGTTGGTGAAGACTGGAGCCGCAACGACGGGAGAGGCCGCACCAGCAGCATTTTGAATCAGCAAGGGAGGCGCCGTGCTTCACTTTGAAGCTCTCGAAGTCCGTTCCGTGGCGAGTTCGGAGCGTAAACCTCGCTGCGAAAAATTCGCCGTATATCTTCGTCGCGAGAAGATCGTTTAATGAAGACCCTGCTGATATGGTCGCGCCATGTGGATATGGCGGTCCAGATTTCACGATGAAAAGGTTGCCGCGGAAATCTCGGTACAGTACACGGTTCAGCCAAGGCACTCAGCAGCTCGCTCCTCACGACTCTCTACCCACCCACCCCACACCCGACTTTCTAACTCAACGCCGCCTCATGCCTTGGCTTCCTCGTGTACCATCCGGGTGAGTTCATTAATTTGGAGCTTTGAGAAAAAGAACTACACAAATGCAACATCGCTAGATTATATGGAGCGATGAGATGATCGAGGGAGATGCAAGAAAATGGTAGCTGCTGAAGCAGAAGGATAAACTTTCTGCTGATTGGTAGATACAAATCCTCCATTTCTAACGGCGGCTCTGACGGTGCGTCTTAGCTCGGCTTCAAACACCATGCTGTGCTGCCGCCGTGTGGTAGGGAATTCGTGAATCCTGACACCAGGCTGTGTGCGCGGTGCGAAAAAGTACAATGTGATGTGAATGGATTGATGGTGGTGGTGCAGTCGACGGCAACGGTGGGAAGGTGTGGTTGATTGTATGATGGACCAATAAAATGCGGCGCCGAGATTGTGGCAGGGGACCAGGGGTCATTCCTCGAGCGGCGCGTGAAGAATAGTTTGAGGTGGCTGAAATTGTGCCCTCCGCCTTGTCCATCCCGTTTAGTACAGCACATTCATTTTGCACCTTGGGGTTACACAACGGATTGACTTGTTTGAATGCAAACGAGTATTTCAAAGGCGAGGATCGGTGGTTAGGGAGGTTTGTTGAGCACGCTGGTGTGCAACAGCAAGGATAGGCTCGAGCTTTCTAGGAGGTGGCTGACGTGGCGCTATCGCTAGTTGGTTTGGGCCGTAGGTTTTTTGAGCCGCTTGGGTTTTGCGTGAGGTGCGGGACGGCTTTGGTTCAGGAAAAGTCTGCTGACCCACTCTCATCCTCCTGAACCTGCTTGGGCAGCTGTAATAACAATGGATGGATGAGAAAAGAAATTACGCGAACCAATGGAATGAAGGTGTTTTTGACACCCTGGCACAACCACCGGCCCTCGTACCGGACCTGGTACTCCGAACCTGCCACTATCACTTCACCCGCCATATCCCAGATGTATGTGACTTCCATTAGCTCACACTAACTTGAATTTAGTACTAGTTTCGCCACGCATCTCGTTAGTTTCGATAGTTTATTTCGTGAAGACAGATCTCAGCGTGGTAGTCGATCTGGTCAGTACAGCTTTTCATAACAGCGAAATGTTTCATGTAGCTCACGCTCTCGGTCGTGCTTATTTTTAATCGCTTTACGTTTCTATTGGCATGCTAGCAGTATCAGATCTGAATTGATATCGCAGTCTCGGTGAGACAGTCTAAGTCGCGCTCTCCAGAATAGCAATCTTTCCACATGTGTAGTAGCGGACGGATCAGTAACATTCGACGCATTAGTAGCGACTCGCGTTTCGTCGACAGCGCGTTTCGTCGACTTCACAGCGTCGACGGTATCCTGGACACAAGACGCGGAAAAGGAGTTGAGTGGAGGTGACGGTAATTTCCCCTTCCCCCTCCCCTTTACGCTTTCCCCCTCGTGACTTCAGAGCGTCGACTGTATTCTGGACGCGAGACGCGGAAAAGGAGGACGGGAGGTGAGTGGAGGTGAGTGGAGGTGAGAGGAGGTGAGCGGAGGGCAGAATAGGGGGAAATGGACGTAGTGGACTGGAGAAAGGGGAAAGCGCCCATTTCCTTACCTTTCAGCTTTTCCCCTACCCTTTCCGCTTTTTCCCTCCCCTTTCCGCTTCCCGCCCTCCCCCCCGCCCCTTACCTCTTTTCTCCTCCCCTTTCCGTTTTTCCCTTTCCCTTTCCGCCTTTTCCCTCCACTATCCGCCTTTCCCTCCCCTTTCCGCCTTTCCCTCCCCTATCCGCCTTTCCCTCCCCTATCCGCCTTTCCCTCCCCTATCCGCCTTTCCCTCCCCTATCCGCCTTTCCCTCCCCAAACCCGAAACCCTCCCCTTTCCGCCTTTTCCTCCCCTATCATCCTTTCCCTCCCCTATCCGCCTTTCCCTCCTCTATCCACCTTTCCCTCCCCTTTCCGAATTTCCCTCCCCTTTCCGCCTTTCCCTCCCCTTTCCGCCTTTTCCCTCCCCCTTCCGCTCCCCCCTCAGCTGCCTGGACTTGAGTGCGCGTCAGTGGTCCCAGCCTGGACGCAAGACGGGAAAAAGGGAGAACGGGAGCGGAGGGGAGGTGAGCGGAGGGGAGAAGAGAGACGAAGGTGGGTGGAGCGGAGGGGAGAAGAGGGGAAATGCACGGAGACGACTGGCGAAAGGAGAAGGCGCCCATTTTCCCCTTTCTTTCCCTTCCCTCTCCCCCCCCTCCCTCTTTCTTCCCCCCCCCCCCCACTCACCCCCCTGGGCCTTTCCGCGGCCCCCCTTTCCGCCCTCCCCTTTCCGTTTTCCCCTCCCCCCCTCATCTTCCTGGTGTAAGGTGAGTGATAGGGATTACATTTGAGGTGAGTGAAACGGATTACATCTGAGGTGAGTGACTGGGGATTGGACGGATGAAAGCCGATTTAACATGTTGGCAAATGTAATCGCATAATCTCCAATGTGGCATGGCATGGTGTGGCATGGCATGGTGTGGCATGTCATGGTGTGGCATGCCATGGTGTGGCATGCCATGGTGTGGCATGCCATGGTGTGGCATGCCATGGTGTGGCATGCCATGGTGTGGCATGCCATGGTGTGGCATGCCATGGTCTGGCATGCCATGGTGTGGCATGCAATCTGCAGGCTGTCAACAGCTTGAGGGAGGAGGAAAGAGGAGGGGTGTGGCACTGCACGGCATGCACACCGCGTCGCATCACCTTTGTTCTGCTGCTCTGGGTTGTGGTCCCGCCACATCCGATTTGAATTTAATTTGTAGTTTCTCGTCCGCTTGCCATACTGTCATTAGTGGTATCTTCCAGATATGATACTCTCAGCATTGGTTTCTCTATAGTTGTCTCTCTGAGTACCAGCAGTACCATACCAGGAACGTGCTCCCTATGTTAAACACTACCCAGCAAGTATCTTATTGCTATGTTGCGTTAAGCATCATCAGTACCTTTACAACTAAAGCTTGTATGGGCGGAAATGCTCAATTGTGTGAGTGGACCAATGGACCAATAAGATCACAGTCTGCTGTCTCTCAAGGGAACGTATGCTACACTACCAGGGAGAGCACTGTATCACAGCTTGTGCCTGTTTCACAGAGGAGGGTGCCTGTTTCACAATTTAGACCTACAAGCACCCCCTTTGCTCGTTCCATCCTTGGTACCATGCCTCTGCTGCCCTTCCCACCCCTCCTGCCCTTCCCTCAGCTGCTGCTGCTGCTTGCATTGTGTTTGCAGCAGTAAAGGTGAGGAGGAAGGGGGAGGTGGAGAGGGAGAAGGAGAAGGTAGCGCAGTGGGCACGGCGTGGAGAAGGGTTGTGTGGGAGTGGGAGTGGGAGAGGGCGAGGATGGGTCGTAGCGCCGTGATGAGTGCATTCACATGTGCAGGTGTGTGCGAGGCTGATAGGGCCACTCGCAGGCTGGGGGATAGGGAGAGGAGATGAGGGGGAGAGGGGAGGGGATAGGGAGGGAGGGTGAGGGAGAGAGGGTAACGAGAGGGGGGGGGGGGGGAGAGGGGGGGAGAGGGAGGGGAGGGGGCGGGAAAAGATCCCAAGTGACAGGTGATGATTCGACCGAAAATCAGATTAGCTAAGTGCAACGCAAAGTTGGGTGTGACGGGTGCCATATGGGGACATATGGAGAGTGCATATTTCGGGATCAAGAGTGGGAGGGAGGGAGGGAGGGAGGGAGGGAGGGAGGGAGGGAGGGAGGGAGGGAGGGAGGGAGGGAGGGAGGGAGGGAGGGAGGGAGGGAGGGAGTTACCGTGAGGAGCCAGGAGCAACAGTGGGAGGGCGAATGGCAGGCACGTGGAAACCAGAGAGCAGTAGATGCCTGCAAGGGGAGGAGAGGGGGGGGGGAAGTTGGTTGGAGGGAGATGTGATCATGGCAGGTAGTTGGGACATGAAAACCAGAGAGAGGAAGGTGCACGTGATGCGGAGCGGAGGGGGTTGAAGGGGGTCGTTGGTAGGTCGTGAGGGGGTTGGTAGGAGCAACAAGAGCAATAATGGGACAAAAAGTAGGAAGTGGCGATGTCGCTGTAATGCAAGGCTGTAAGATGGAAAGAGGCTGCTGGAATCAGATACGGTAGATAACCAGAAAACAAGAATGCCACGTGAAAGCCTTTCTAGGCGCCTAGAAGCAGTCTGCTGCTTCAATAACGATCGTCCCCTGAACGCGCCTGCTGGCTTGCAGAGGCAGGTCAGCAGAGCCGAGCACTATGGGGCAGATGGGATGGGACTCGAGAAATGTTGAATGTTACTATGGTGAATAGCCGAGCACTATGGTGAGTGTTACTCCCAGGCCTTTTGAAACGCCTCAAAGGCTTTCTGAACGCACCTGCTGGCTTGCAGAGCTAGGTCAGCAGAGCCGAGCACAATGGGGCAGATGGGGCTCGTGAAGGTCACTCCCAGGCCTTCCCCCAGCTGCTTCACCCGCCGCCACACGGCCCTCTGCCTCCACCGCTCCTCCGCTGCCACTGCCAGAGCCGCTGGGGGTGGAGGGGGTGGGGTGAGCAGCAGGCAACAGGGGAGGGAGCTGCATGCGCCTCATTTTGCTGCTTCACCCGCCGACACACGGCCCTCTGCCTCCACCGCTCCTCCGCTGCCACTGCCAGGGCCGCTGGGGGTTTGGTGGGTTGGGTTGGGTGGGTGGGTGGGTGGTGAGGGATGTGACAGAAGGGAGATGAAAGAGAAAGGTTCCGCTTGCTCGTTCCCAGGCCTTCCCCTAGCTGCTTCACTTGCCGTCACACGGCCCTCTGCCTCCACCGCTCCTCCGCTGCCACTGCCAGAGCCGCTGGGGGTAGAAGAGAGAGGTGGGAGGGAGGGATGGGGCAGAGTGGAGATGATAGGGAGAGGATTTCCTTGCCTTCTCCAGACCTTTCCCAGGAGTCTTACATCTGGCAGCAGCAAGCAGTGAGAGTTGTACCTCTGGCAGTAACCACCACAGGCACAGGTAGAGTTGTGGTGATACATGTATCACTTTTCGAATGTTGAGTGTTGATACAGGTAGAAGCGACCAACGAGCAACAGGCGTCTCACCTCTGGCAGCAGCAACCACGGGGACAGGCAGAGCAGTGGAGAAGATAAAGGAGCGGCCACGTGAAGCAAAGAAGTCCCGCAGGGGAGCGCTGTGGTGAGGGTGCGTGCAACACAGGGCGGTGGCAGCGAGCTAGGAAGGCTGGCAAGACGGCAGGTGAGGAAAAGAAAGCGGGCAGAGGATCGATCAGACGGGGTCGTTTCCTTCCCCACGGGCCACGGCTCAACCAAAAGGCAGTGCATGCCCACAAGCAGCACACAGCGTTGCTGAGCAAATTTCGAATAGAAAACGACAGAACCGACTTATCATGCTTGGTTCATAGGTTGGAAATCTATTCGCTTCCCACTCACGACTTCCTCCCTTCCCCCCTTCTCTCCCAACCACCCCTTACGAGCAAGCGATGTAGCCCCCTAAGCAGCCCACAGCCTTGCTGAGTGTCCCCACATGCACATCTACTGCCGGCTTCACACCCATCTCTTCCGCTGCTCCTCCGCCCGTGCTGCCACACACTAGCGTCGCATGTGCCTGCATGAAAGGTAGTGGCAACGGTGGCAACAAGGAGACCAGGAGAGAAGGGTGAGAAGAGAAGAGAAGAGAAGAGAAGAGAAGAGAAGAGAAGAGAAGAGAAGAGAAGAGAAGAGAAGAGAAGAGAAGAGAAGATGGATGCAAGGCAGGGAGTGAAGGGGTGCGCACAGAAGAGAAGACGAATGTGAGGCAAAGCTTCGGCTGCCTGCCTTTACCCCCGTCTCCTCTGCTGCAGCGATGGCAGGCAGAGCATGGCATGGGGAATCACTTTTGAGAATTCTTACTAGCAAACGCAGGCAAGACGGCAGAGCATGGCATGGCACACGAGCAATAGATAATCATGCACCTCGTCAAGCACGAGAAGAAAGCCATGCTTGGCCTTGACGGTTGCGATGACAGCATGGCATGGCACGGCATGGCACGGGACAGCATGGCATGGCATGGCACGGCATGGCACGGCACGGCATGGCATGGCATGGCATGGCACGGCATGGCACGGCACGGCATGGCACGGCATGGCATGGCACGGCATGGCACGGCACGGCACGGCACGGCACGGCATGGCATGGCATGGCATGGCACGGCATGGCACGGCACGGCACGGCATGGCATGGCATGGCATGGCATGGCATGGCATGGCATGGCACAGAGCATGGTAGCTACTGACGAACCTCATCGAGCACGAGAAGAAAGCCATGCTTGGCCTTGAGGGCTGCGAGAGCAGGCAGAGGAGCAAAGTCTCCATCCATACTGAAGAGACTGCAGGGGCGGATGGTGGGGAGATGAAAGTTGAAGTGCTGGAGCAAGTTGAATGAGCACAAGCAGGTAGCAATGTTTGGCCTTGAGGGCCACGAGGGCAGGCAGAGTAGCAAAGTCTCCATACATGCTGAAGAGATTGCAGGGGCGGATGGTGGATGAGGGACAGAGGGGAGATGAAAGTTGAAGGGATGGACGAGGCAGCGACGAGCAAGCATGCGTGCTGAATAGTTCTATAGCCTGCTGCAGGGTAGGCGGGGTTGGAGAGGGACGAGACGAGGGAAGGCTTCTATAGAACTACGAGAGGAGGGGTAGAAAGCAATGATAATTCACGTGCGGGATGGGGAGTGCATGTGCAGGGAAGAGAGTGCGTGCAGGCAAGCAGGAGAAAGCAGGAGAGTGTACCTGTCTGTGACGACTAGCTTTCTGGTAGCAGATGATGCGGTGCTGTGAGTAGATGGAGCAGAAGAGGGTAGGCGACGGTAAGAGAGAGTTGGAGAAGAGGTAAAGAACAAGAAGGGGGAGAAAAAAAGGGGATGCGTTAGGTGGGAAGGAAGAGGATCAGAAGGGGGAGAGGGATAGAGGAGCAAGGATAATGGTAGCCACATGTAGGGAGTCAGGCGATAGACGAAACGCACAAGCAGACGCTTTGGCCTCCAAGCACAAACGACCAAACAGAATGAAAGAATTTCAGGACTTTTGAGGCGCCTAAAAAGTAAACTCCAAGCGCAAACGACCAAGAAGAATGAAAGAATTGCAGGACACGCCAATAGCAAAATGCTGGAACTATCTTTATCACAATCATCGTCACTCATCCCCTCACTCATCCCCTCCCTCACAGCATCTCGTCCAGATGCGTCATGTCGTTGAGCGGCGTCACAGCAGCAGCAACACCAGCACGACTTTTGAGGCGCCTCAAAAGTCCTTCCCCCGATCCTCCCACTCACAGCAGCTGATCTAGATGTGTCATGTCGTTGTGCCGATACACATGCAGCGCCACAGCAGCAACAGCACCACCACCAGCGCGCCCCTCCCCTGCACTGCCCCTCTCTGAGCGCGGCAGCAGCAGGCGCAAGGCATCGATGATAGAGGCATGGTTCAGCTCATCTGAAAACACTGCCAACGAGTCTGATTCCCCAATTGAACTCAAGGAGTCTACACGGCCCTCCTCTACCCTCTCTGTTCGCCTCTGCCCGTGGCCCACACTCCTGTCACCACCACTGCCTCTAAAGCTGCCGCTGCTGCTGCTACTATTCTCGCTGCGTGAGGCACATTCAGAACCAGCAGCAATGGCCCCATTCCCCCTCCTGTCATTGCTGTCGCTGCCATTCCTACTGTTGCTTCTGTCCTTGCTCTTGGAGCGAGGGACTGGCGCTAGAGAAGCAAGAACAGCAAGATTGGCAGCAAAACCAGTCGGGCAGAGTAGACATGCCTGCTATAGGAAAGGGGGTCCCGAGGGAGATGGGAGAGGGGAGGGATGGGGTGAGGGGGGTGGGGGAGGATGCGGATGAATATGAGGGAAGCGGAATTGGTTATATTGAAGGGGAGAAGAGAAGAGGAGGGAGAGAGAGGGAGGGGGAGTGACTTACCAGCAACTGTGCAATGATGCTGTCGCCTCACCTCACACAAGGTTGAGAGATCCTTCCCCCTGAAGGTCCAGGTCACCCACCTGTGTGACTTTGAGCCGTGCTATATCATGCTCCAGCCCAGACCCTCATGGCATGGCAGTCAGCGCTCACCTGTGTGCCTTTGAGCCGTGCTATATCATGCTCCAGCCCCTCATGCTCCGTTGTGAAACCAGTTACTAGGGCAGACGCCCGCGGACCCATGCCCTGCTGCCATGCTGCCTGTGGGGGGGGGAGGAAACGAAAGGAGCTTCTGAAAAAAAAAATCAAAGTCGCCTGCAGTCCCATGCCTTGCTCACATGCTTGCATGGGGTTGAGGAGACTTGGATGGGGGGAGATCGATCTCGTGCTCAAACACAAACCAACCGGTTGGAAAAGCAGACAGACGCCAGTTGGTTGGTTATCCGCTGGCTGACGTCAGCAGACACACGCACAAAGTACAAACGCACACACGCACGCACCTTGGCGGCAGCAGCGCGGAGCGGACGCGCGGGTGTGAGGCGAGGCGGAGATAGTAAAATTCCGAGGCCTCTCGAAAGTCGCACACACTCGCACACACACCTTGGCTGCAGCAGCGCGGACGCGCGGGTGTGAGGCGAGGCCGAGGTAGTCGTTAGCCGAGAAGAGGACTAGACGGCGGGGGGAGGCGCGGGAATTGTCATTGGCGGAGGGTGGATGAGGGGAGGGGGAAGGGTGAGGGGAAGGGGAAGACGAGGAGTGGGAGTTTGATGAAGGGGAAGGCTTGGAAGGTGTGGAAAACGCGGATGGTAGAAGGCCGGGTGTTCCGTGTGACTGTATAGAGGGTAATGGGAACCATTGCCCGCCGTCTCCTGCTGGTTCGTCAAGCCATCGCTGAAACGCCTCTTCCGATATAAGAACCTCCACTGCAGCCACATCCCACCATGGCGCTTCGATTAAATCCTCATCCGCTCCCTCCCCTGCTTGTGCCCTCTCCACATTCCCCCCATCCCGTGCGCCAACCCCCCATTCCCGGGGCCGCGCAAAGTCTTCCGCCGATTTTCCGGAAGATGGTACCGCGCCGGGGGAAACCAGCGCGGGGGGAAGCGGAACGGGCGCGCGGATAAGGTCAATCGGGCGGAGGCGGCGGAGAAGGGAGTGGGTGTGGAGCGCGGCGAGACGGCTGTCGAACCAGCGCTGCCATTGGGGCGGCAAGCCGCTTGCTACAGCGGTTTCGGCGGTTGCCATTGCTGGGACGGGGTGGGCGCAGAGCTGAGTAGAGGACGCTGTTTTGAGAAATGGAGGCAGCCCAAGGGACAGAGCAGCTTGATGTTTCTGGTTCGATGTTGGTTGTTCCGATACGTGGAAATCAATTATTACTCATAAACAGTTTAGGTTTAAAGCAAGGGTGCACATTCCTAGGGGTGGGTTTCGGGTGTATTTGTTTGGTACACCCCTTGGGGTGCTGTGAATGATTGGCGAAGAGTCCAACCATATGAAACACTAGAGCGAGGGTTGGAGAATGTGCTGGCGAACACAAAAATAATTCGTCCTAGAGTTGGGTTGGGGGAACAGACGACGGAAGGTGAGGCAAGTGATAAACCTTTGCCTCCACCCCCCCCCCAAAGTGCACCCTTGGAGCAGGCATCATGAACCTGACATAAGGGGTTAATCTATTGATTGGAGACTGATCGGAATATACACTGCTGCATCAAGAGTTGGACCTTATCAAGCATTGGACTTTTATCTCAACCTGCTACAATTACAGCTAGTTCCTGTGGTTTCTCAAATACGGTAGGTTCATCAAAGCAGCAGTGGAACCCAGCCCAGCACTTCAGCCGCGAGCCTTGATCCTGAAGCAAACAGATCAGATGGGAGAGAGGGAAGGAAAGGGGATGAGCAGGAAAATGAGAACAGCGGGACCAGGAAGGGGGAAAGAAAATAAAATGGAAGGGGGGAATGGAAGGGAAGGGAAACAAGCGGAACGTTGGGATGGAAGGGAAGGGAATGGAGGGGAGGGGAAGGGCAGGGAAGGGAAAGCAAGGCAAGGCAGGGCAAGGAAAGGGACGGGAGGGGAAGGGAGGGGAAGGGAGGGGAAGGGAGGGGAAGGGAGGGGAGGGTAATGGAAGGGAAAGGAAGGGAGGGGAAGGGAATGGAAGGCAAGCAAGGCAAGGGAAGGCAACGCAAGGGGAGGAAGGGAAGAGAAGGGAATGGAAGGAAAGGGAAGGGGGGGGGTGGAAGGGAAGGGAAGGGAGAAGGGGAGGGTGGGAGGGGAAGGGAAAGGGGGAAGCGTACTGCTGGTGCCAGACGGCGATGAGCGGAACGGCTATACCGAAGGCCACAGAGCCGACGACTGCAACGCCGAACTTCAGCTTGCGGTTCTTGATCTGAAAGAGGAGATCGAGGCACGCATCACACAGGATAAGTAAGTTGATTAAACGACGAGAAATGTTGAGGCGAATCATCAAGAGAGATCCAAGACAAGATTCACAGAGGATACGTAGATTTGACATCAACGCCGGGTTAACATAATAGTGGGAGAGAAATCGACATCAATACGCGGATTTTGAAGCGGGGAATAACGATGAGAGCTTGAGCCAAGGTTAAGTGCCGATGGATCAACAAAAAGACACGAGAACGCGAGGAAGATACCGTGATTCAGGCAGCTGGGGAGGAAGGACGTACCGAGGGGATGTCGTACATGTGGTGAGCATGGAGGTAGGCAGGCTCCTGGTGGAAGGTAGATTAATCGAGGAGAAAAGGAAGAAATAAATAACATAAAATAAAATAAAACAAAAATCAGAACGCAGGTGAGTCAAACAAGCGTAACTTTTAAACTAAAGAGAAGATCCGCATGCTGTGCGCACTGTAGCCGCGACCTACATTTCCAGATCCCGCTGCAGCGCTGCGAGTCGGTGCCGCGTGGAACCGACGCACAGCAACATTGGCTTCCGAAGCCGCAGCGGTCAGCACGCGGCGCGCGGAGTTCGCAACGGCGGCCATGGCGACGACGTCGAGTGCGAGGCGAGGAGAGCAGGGGAGCTCGTGGGAGCGAAGTGCGTGCGGGTCGATGCGGGTGGGATGGAGCGGGAACAAGAATGGTGGAAGCAGGGAAGCAAGGGTTATGGTGGAGCAGAGGGTAACTCACCCGAGGAAGCAAGCGGGAGGAAGTACAGGCGGTCGGGGCAGGCGGAAGGCGGAAGGCGGAGTGGGGAAGGAAGGCTGAAAGGCCTCCTCTCTGGTCCCTGATTGGTTGGTAGCAACCCCAGAACACACACGCACACAGCCATTGACCCTGCTCCCCGTAATTGTCCGCCCGATGAGATCATACGGTAGTAGATCCGCATTTGCGTGTTCTTCAACTGTTTCAGATTTTGCTAGTCAAATCCTTAGTCTTATATTTTCACCAATGGGTTCAAACTCTGCCATTTTCCAATTTACAGGAAAGCAAACTTCACTGTACGCATGTAGCCCTCAATTTATGAATACCGGTACGTATCACACCTATTATGTATTCAGAATAATTTTGTGAGATTTTGGAGCTATATACGCATTCCTTATAGACACAAACAAACGTCAGTCATGGAAGTACAGTGTAAGGAAAAATCCTTTTCCTTACTTCGCATCCCTGCTCAACGCGTACAGCACTGTAGCACCACAGTCAGCACCGTTACCACTCGCCACCCTCGCATCGACAATCCGCCCGCCACCTTCGCACATCGCACCCCGACCTCACGGCTCGGCGGGTAACCCGCGCTCCGGGCCTCCGCTTCGACACTTTTTCCCAACCTCAGTCCCAGACCCGTCGCGCGACAACCACAGTCCATTACCGTTACCACTGTAGTTTCGCTATATATTCTTCGCTCATGCCTTCGCTCATTGTACTCTTGCTTCGATAGTGCAATTCTCGTTCGTTCACTCAATTGCACCCGTAACACCTGGTATTCAGAGCCTAGGATCTCCTCTCGGATCGCACCCACACCTTCGCTTCCCCACTATCTCAATTTTTGGGGGGGTAGACGTCTCTCAGCGACACAGCACCGCCGCTCGTAGTGCTCTCTCGTAAGCACGCACGGCCACGACCGAGGCTCTCGCTGAGCTCGCCCGACACCCCCGCCATGGCCGAATTCACGCTCGCCACATTGACGCAGGAGCAGCTCGACCGTCTGGTGCGCCAACTTGAAGATTCGGCGCTCGAAATTGCGACGCTCGCGGCGGAACGTGACTCCGCGCGTCAGCAATCAACGATGAACACTCCAGCGCCACCACACGCACCGACAAATGCATCTGCACAATCAGACGAGCCGATCGTCATCTCGTCCGGCACACCAACACAAAACAACAGCGTGGGACAGCGCGCAGGCGCAGCCAGCGATGGCGCCGCCCAGCCGATGCCTGGCATGGGAGGAAACAGGGTCGCACCAAGCCCGCGGGAGCCTCGCGAAGCCCGTCGGCACGTGGAGTTCGCGGCGACAAGTGGCGAACAGGCCATCATGGCACCAATGCCACTCAAGCCGCAACGCCCGCCCTGTTTCGACCCGAGCCAGCGTGGAGGTCCGACGGTTCAGTCGTGGGTCTTCACGATGAACGTCTTCTTCGACGCGAATTACGTCGAGTCGGATGCAGCGAAGATTCGGTATGTCGTTTCGCTGCTAAGGGGCCCCGCCATGGACTGGTGGCGAGTCATCGTGACGTCGCCACGCGCCTACGAGCCACCGTCGCAAGAGGAAGGGCCCACGGGCCCAGCTGTCACCTGGAGTTCATTCTGCGAGACCGCCCAATACAGCACGTGGGATGCGTGGTGCGCAGGGCTTCGGGCGCGCTTCGAGCCGATCGCGGCTTCTATTTCGGCGCGTCAGAGATTGCGCACTTGGCGGCAGCTTGGATCGGTTCAAGACTATACGAGTGGTTTTCTCGCATTATGCGAGCAAGTCGGCTACATGCACGAAGCGGAGCGGGTGGACCGTTACGTCGGAGGGCTGAAGACGGACATCTCGCACGAAATCATGCTACGCGGGCTCTCGAACTTCAACGAGATTCTCGCGCTCGCCGAGAAAATCGACATTTTACGCCGTCCGAGACCGGGGTCCTACTATGGACATCGTCCTCGGGGACCGATCGAGCACGCCACTGTACACGCTGTTGCGACGAATGCAGCTGCCGCGCCGTTTAAGGGGCGCTGCTTTGCTTGCAACAGGCCGGGCCATCGCAAGAGCGAATGCCCAGAGGAGCTAAGGCGCCGCGGAGCAGAGCAGGGGAGGGAGTCTCCAAAGCAGGGAAACGCCAGCAGTCAGTAGGAATCGGGCCAACTACTGACGAGACTGCCTGCTCGCCCAACCCCACCGACCCTCACCGAGTCACAGTACCGATTCATGCTATCGATCGGACTCGGACGAATAAGGAGGGTACAGCGACGGATTGCCCAGTACTGATCCACGGGAAAATACAGGGAGCAGCAGTGAAGATTTTTATCGACGGAGGAGCAAGCCACAGTTTAGTTAATACCGCAACCGCACAAAAACTGCAGCTGACACTTAGCCGTTGCTTACCGGAGATAGACGCACGCTTAGTCGACGGCACGCTACTGGCCATACGGGAAAAGGTAGAAAGAGTCAAAGTCCGCTGCGGGGGAAATTTCGGGTTTACACAGGAAATGCTCGCAACAACACTGGATGGGCACGATATTTTACTGGGACGTGATTGGCTGCGACGGTATAACCCGCGAATTGACTGGACGACGGGTAGCTGCACCGTGCGAAGTAGTGGTAACTGGGTCGAGCTATCTCGCTGGCAGTCGCCCGAGTCTTCAACGGTACACGTCAACGCCATCACAATGAAACGGGCTGTCGCTGCTGGAGCCGACGTGTACGCAGTAGACATCGCAGTAGTAGAGGAAGCAGAGCAGCCGAGTGATTTCAAGAAACTGCTGGCAGCCGTACCGCCCGAATTACAGGAATTGTTGAAACCATACCCCGGGATTTTCCCCGACGACTTACCGGAAGGACTGCCACCTCAACGAGCACATGACCACCGAATCGAATTAGAACCGGGGGCACAGCCAACCGTACAGCGCCAGTTCAGACTGACACAGCCCGAGCTCGACGAACTAAGGAAGCAGTTAGATTACCTGTTAGAGAAAAAATTCATCAGACCGAGCTCGTCACCGTTCGCCGCACCGATATTATTCACGCCGAAGAAAGACGGGGGTTTTCGCATGTGTATCGACTACAGAGCACTGAACAGGGTAACAGTCAAGTCGCGGTACCCCATTCCCCGCGCCGACGAACTGATCGACCAACTGCGAACAGCACGGGTTTTTTCGAAAATAGATTTACGGGGAGGTTACCATCAAATTAGGGTCGAACCATCGGACTGCGCCAAAACAGCTTTCAGGACTAGGTACGGGTCGTTCGAGTACACTGTGATGCCATTCGGGCTGACCAACGCACCGGCGACTTTTCAGATGACCATGAACGAGGCATTCAGGCCGCTCTTAGATAAATGCGTGATCGTGTACCTCGACGACATCCTAGTTTACAGTCGGGATAAGCAGCAGCACTTAGCAGATCTGGAAGCAGTATTTAAGGTTTTAGACGAGCACAGATTACTGACCAAGGGTTCCAAGTGCGAGCTCTTCCAGGATAGGTTAGAATTTTTGGGGCACGTTATTTCGGAGGCTGGAGTTGAAATCGACCCAAAAAAGCTGGATACGGTAAAAGCGTGGCATCCCCCGACGAACATCACGGAGCTGCAGAGCTTTTTAGGGTTCGTTAATTATGTGCGTCGGTTCGTCCCCGATATGGCACGGTTAACTGCCCCACTGACGGATTTACTGCGGAAGGGGGTCGCTTTTACGTGGGGGGAGAAAGAGCATGCTGCCTTCTCTGCCCTGAAAAATGTTCTCTGTTCGCCGCCCGTCCCGCGCATCGCCGACCCACACCGCCCATTCGAAGTAGTTACCGACGCAAGCGATATCGCCATCGGAGCCGTACTGCTACAGGATTTCGGCAATGGCCTACAGCCTATCGCATACGAGTCACAAAAACTGCATCCGCCCGAGAAAAATTACCCGATACACGACCGCGAAATGCTTGCGATCGTGCACGCGTTCAAAGTATGGCGCTGTTACTTGACTGGCGCGGACGTGACAGTACGGACAGACCATAAATCACTACAGTACCTTCGCGCACAGCCACACCTCAACCCACGACAGATTCGCTGGCTCGATTTCCTCGAGTCCAACTTTCACTACACGGTCACTTACAAAAAGGGAGCCTCGAACATCGCCGACGCACTGACCCGCCCCACTGCCCAGATCCACGCAATACTACTCGCCCAGACAAGCCCGCTACTGACAGGCCTATTCACCCACGGGTACCAAACGGATCCATTCTTCACAGGAGGAAATTCGCAGCAGTTCGCAGCAGCAAAGGGAGTCTATTACGTAAAAACCGGGACTGACCGCATTTGGGTGCCTGGGTTTTCACTGCTACGGGAATTACTGTTACAGGAGGCACACGACGGGGTTACCTCGGGGCATTTCGGAGTAGAAAAAACACGACAGCAGCTGCAGCGGTATTATTACTGGCCCGAAATGTTGACTGACGTACAGCGACACGTGGCATCGTGTCCCACTTGTCAGCTCATGAAATCATCACGACAGCGGCCGGCGGGACAGTTACAGCCGATACCACCCCCAGAGCGTGCTTGGCAGCAGGTGACGATGGACTTTGTCACGGGGTTAACAGCCGGGGCGAATGGGAACGACGCGATCCTGGTCGTCGTCGATCGACTGACGAAAATGGCACATTTCGCAGCCTGCAAAAAATCAATCACAGCCGAAGAAACAGCACGCCTCTTCATCTCCACCGTCGTTCGACTGCACGGGATACCAGCCGCGATCATCAGCGACCGCGATACGAAATTCACCAGCAACTTCTGGCGGAACCTATGGCAGCAGTTCGGCACGCGACTGCAGTTCAGTTCATCATACCACCCCGAAACCGACGGACAGACAGAACGGACAAATCAGACCATGGAACAGCTCATCAGGGCCACGTGTGACGACCCGACCACGTGGGAACAGCAACTGCCACTAATCGAATTCGCGTACAACAACTCGCCATCCGCCACGACCCAACAGTCACCATTTTACCTAAACTACGGACAAGACCCGACAGTACCCATGACCCCGAATCCCGACAACCCAGTACCACGAGCACAACAGTTCGCCGAAATATTACAAGCAGCATGGACCCGGGCAGTAGACGCAATAAAAAAATCAAACATCATCGCTAAACGCAACGCCGACCGCCACCGCCGACCTGTCACTTACTAGTCCGACAACTTAGTTTTACTTGACACTCAGAACCTCCGACTGCCCATCACCCCGAAACTCCGCCCCCGATACTGCGGGCCATTTCGCATAAGCCACATGCTTACACCCGTCACCGCCCACCTCCTCCTCCCTGCTGACTGGTACGTCAGCCCCTCATTCCACGTCAGCCTACTTCGCCCTTACGTCCCGTCCACGAGCCAACTACCACGCAATCGCCCAGCCAGCATGACAAGACCACCAACTGAACCAATCATCACCCCCGAAAAAATCCTGAGTCACAGAGTTCGCGACCCTCGAGGAGCCCGAAGGATCGAGTTCTTACTCCGCTGGAAGGACCGTACACCCACCGAAGACAATTGGGTTCCCCTGGACAGAATCGAAAACCACCCCGTCCTCACTGAGTATCTGCGCAGCCGAAATTTCAGGGATGTACACGCACTTTCGTAAGGAGGACCTCCTTAGGAGGGGGGGTAGTGTAAGGAAAATTCCTTTTCCTTACTTCGCATCCCTGCTCAACGCGTACAGCACTGTAGCACCACAGTCAGCACCGTTACCACTCGCCACCCTCGCATCGACAATCCGCCCGCCACCTTCGCACATCGCACCCCGACCTCACAGCTCGGCGGGTAACCCACGCTCCGGGCCTCCGCTTCGACACTTTTTCCCAACCTCAGTCCCAGACCCGTCGCGCGACAACCACAGTCCATTACCGTTACCACTGTAGTTTCGCTATATATTCTTCGCTCATGCCTTCGCTCATTGTACTCTTGCTTCTATAGTGCAATTCTAGTTCGTTCACTCAATTGCACCCGTAACATACAGCTGCAATACAACAAAAGGTATCGATTTCTCAATCTTGAGGGTTTTCACCAGCGGTGCCTCTTCTTCCGCCACGTGGAAAATTTATTTTCGCAAGCCACCCAGCAATCCGCCGCCAGGTCACCTTGCTGACTCCACATTCATTCACCCCTCACACTCACCTGCTTGCTCACTCTCAACAAGCTATGCCAATCACACTTGCACACTCGTCGATTTCCACTCACCTTCGATCTCCACTAAACAAATTCAGGTCTTGAAGAATCTGACAAACAATATTATCTCATACCTCCAGTATTTTGACCTGTCACGCACATTGCCTGCTTTGGCATTCGTGACCTCGCTTTAGCACCCTCGCCTGGGCACTGGCAATGGCTGTCGCCTTCACTGCGACCGTGGGCTTTCTCGCGGATAGAGCTTGCTATACCGCGGCGATCGGGTCGCGTTTGTCGATCGAGTCACGCATCCTCCGCCAGTCTTCCACGGCATTCTTTGCGTCGGGAAACCATGGCATATTCAAGCAAATCAGTGGCCAAGGGCAGCGCCTGAGTGGTGGAAGTGACACGTCAGTTCCGCGTCCTGTGCATTGCCATGCTTCTGCTGGTGGTGAGTTTGAATTCCGTGAAAGTACGAGTCCTCGGCCTCATATACATAAGCAGAAAAGAAATCTTTGGCATTATGTCAATGTAGTAGTCATGAGACGGAGAATCAACTCGAAGTGTTGTTTTCGTGTTAGATGACAATCATTTGTCACAGTTACTGTTTTCGAGACGAAGATACCAACACGTTAACACCAGATACGAGTCCTTAGACGCCTATAGGTGCAGTCACACTTGACCGCTCCGTCCCAACACACAACACACATGCAAGGTCATCATTCATTCTTGACCTTCCTTTAAAAATCTGACACTGCCCCCAACAACAGCAGCGGTAGCTCACCTGTTCAGTGACTGGTCATTCCTCAAACAACCCTGTCAATAAGTCATGCATCTTCCTGCTTCTGCCTGCATCACCCAGGGGAGAAAATGGCTTCGCAGTCGCGGCGAGTGCAGGTGGATGCAACGAGGGTGCTGGCGGAGCTGCTTCAGGCCAAGGAGCTGGAGGCCACTGTACGGGAGCGCGTGGACGATCTGTCGGAGGAGTTTTTCATGGTTGCATCCGCCTACGTGGACATGGTAGGACCGTTAATGTGCTGCAATCGTCTTTCTTTTCCCTTTCTCTGCTGACCGTCAGATGAAGAGAGAGGTTGATTGGGGGACAGGGGGTTGAGAGTTTGACGTATGGAGGGATGGATAGAGGAAGAAGAAGGGAAGCAAGGATTGGAAGAGGAGAGTGAGGGGATGCGAGAGTGATTGATCGTGGAGGAAGACAGCTGCCGTGGGAAGCTGACTTGCATCTGTGATTGCTGTACCGTTTGTGTCCAGGCTCGTAAGGAAGGCAACCCTGAGGTGGTGCAGCAGTTGGAGACAGTGCTGAAAGTGGCCATGGTGGAGAAAGAAAAGACACTCAGACCAGAAATCCGCATGCTGAACCAGGTAAGACTCCCTACCCCAATGCTGTCAAATTCATGTGCTTCGGCTGGCTATGCCATTGGCGTAGAAAATTTCTCTGCTGTAACGTGCCTTGTTTCCTGTTCTTTTCGTGGTTTTCCTTTCCTGCCTTTTCCAGCTTCTGCGTGATAAGACGCCTGCAGACCGTGCTAAAACTCTAGTGGCATATGAGGAGTACCTCGTTGCAGGGAGCTACTTCTTCCACCTGCTCAACCGCATGCTGGTAGATGTGGAGTCACAGAAGCCTCCTCAAACCAAGCTGCTTTCACAATTGCGCACAATCAACCGAGAGGTGAAGGAGGCAGCCAAGGGGACAAAGAAGGGTCGCAAAGATAGCAAATCAAGCAGTGAAGAACAATAAAGTTTATACCACTGCTTCTTAATCACCTGCCTGTAATATCTCATATTACTCACTCTCATCCTGTAGAAGGATTTGTCCCTAAGTCTGTTAGATAGCTCAGATTTACCACATATTCTGAAGCATGCAAGCTAGTACCAAAATCCAAGTGCAATCGGTCCCTATCGCGTATGGAAGACCCCAACCAAAGATAATGCCAGGATTGCAATTTCGCTGACGTGTGCTGGCCCTCCCGAAATTGCCCTTTTCCAATTTCCCGCGCTTCCCTTCCTGAACCCAGACAGGAATTTGGAACCTGGAAAACCACGAGCCAGTAAAGCCATTACCTAGTAGAACCCTACCTCACCGCACTGAAGATATCTAAGTTTCTCGAAAAGCCTCCATCCTTCGCCGTTGCCTCCCTTCTTTCCAAGCTGCCTGCTTTGCTGCCTGAAAGCATTGCGCTTTTTACGTTGATCGGCTCGACTCCCTCTTCAGTTCTGCTAAACCATGCTGATCAAGAAGGCTGCGCGTTGCGGAATTGGACGTACTCGCTGATCAGCGTAGCGTCGCGTGTTTTTTATGCGCGGATCCAAGTTGGACTAGTCCTGACCGAGGAAAGCACGTTATATGCTCTAAATGAGTATCATATGCACATCACATTCACCTAGCCGAACAGCTCCGTAGACCTATTTAAGCCCCTCGTGGATGGCGAATTATCACGTCCATAGACCGATTTAACTCCAGGTTTTGCTGTTCCTAGGTCCAAAAGCTAAATGGCGTGTAGCGGTATCGCCCCGACGTCTCTCGTCCCCGGCTTTGCACACAGCTTCACGGGTGCAGGACAGAGGCAGAGAAAAGGAGCCAGTGCCAGACACTCACAACATCCCCTCGTAGCGTCTCCTCGTGTTTCCCTGACTCCGTCCCGTGTATCCCTGCAATCGCCGTTCTGGGGTCAGCATCTCCTCTTTAATCCATGGCGTCGCGAGGAAATCGAAGCGCGTAATGCGCAATGCGGCGCGGGGAGCGGAGGGGGGAGTGCAGCACGGGGATCGGCGGGAACGCGAAGCCAATTGCGGGTGATTTGCGCAGCCGCGGCCAACAGCACGAGTACGCCGCATATGGAGGTATGCGCGATCGACGCTCGCATGACCGAGTCTAGTCCCTCCACACGCACTATTTCGTCTTGAGGCAATAAACTGTCGTATATTCGCCCTTGGCCTTGCTCTCTCATACGTCTCCCGTTATCAATCTCTCCCCGGGACAGCATAGCAATGCTCCACTATCTCTCCCCGCGCGATATCTCCTCCTCCTGTATCTTCTTATCTCCTATATCTCCAACAGTGTCTGTATCTTCTTAATCACCTCCTGAAACTCTCTCCTTACCTTTCCCCTTCTCCAGGTGCCGGTTTCCATGCACGAGACTCGCCGTCTGCCCCCGGTCCTGTCGCTTCCTGATGCGATTATTGCTCTCTCTGCTGCTCTCTCCAACCTCGCCGCCTCCCCGCCCTGCTTCCCCTCTGGGGTAATTCGACTTGAGGTGCGTCTGCTGCTCAAAATACACCTGCTTTGCTCCTAAGGTGATCCAGTTCGAATTCGAGTTGTGTTCTCTGCTGCTCACTCCAGCCACCGTGCTTTGTTTGATCGTTCAATTGTCAAACGCTCACAAGCACATCCATATCAAGAGAACAAGCACAATCTTCTGTTATTTCTAGTCTCTGAGAGTATCTTCTTGCCCTGGTCAATGCGCTATGTACCTGTCCTCGCCTGGGTTATTCCCTAGTCTAGACTCTGCTGGTCACGCTGAAAACGAATCCTTATCCTCTGTACTGTGCTGTCCTCTCTCCTGTCGCCCACCGACCAGGTTCCTCTTCCTCCTGACCTCAATGCCCTCGCATGGCTGGCAGCACAGCGACCAGCACCATCACCACCACAACCGGCAGCAGCAGCAGGAGCAGCAGCAGCAGCAGCAGCAGCAGCAGCAGCATCAGGGCAACAATCAGCTACTGATTCAGTAGCACCCGCAGTAGAGCAACCACCAGCGCAAGCAGCAGCACGACAAGCCAACCTGGCATCCTCTCTGTCCAGTTCCCCCGCTCCTCCCCCTGACCTCTCCCCCCGCATCTACTTCTCCCCACGCGCTCCCAGGGGCACCCGCTCCCTCTCCGCCCAGGCACCCTCCGAGCCTGCGCCGGACGGGTCGAGCTGGTCCGGCATTGATGGCTCAGGAATAGGCTCGGTGGCGGGTGTGGGTGCAGCGGTGATGCTGAAAGGGGAGGGTGAGGGGTTCAAGGCGAGGCATTGGAGGCAGATTCGCAGGTACGCGTCTTTCTCTCATACAGCCTGCTGTTGTGTGTGATGAGCCTATTTTTTAGTCGACTGAAAAATAGACTCATCGAAGGGGGAGGGAGGGTGAGGGGTTCAAGGCGAGGCATTGGAGGCAGATTCACAGGTATGCTGTCCGTTAAGGCCGTCTTGCTCTCAAACGGCCTGCTGTTGTGTGCAGGAAAGGAGAACCCCTTTTGCTCTCCTACACCCACGAGTCCCTCTCTTTGCTCACAGCCCCTGTTGCTGATGGCCTTGTTCTGTGATGCCTTGAATCCCCATGCATATACTTCAGTCCGTTGCAATTGTTTCCACCCCTCTTAGCCTTGACTCATACCACTGCTACACGTCCCATCCACTCTCGTGTCAATCAGTCCAATTCCTTCTATATGATGATACCCACCTTCCCACCCACTCCCACGCCCGTCTTGCTCGCCCACAGGTATCTCTCAGACTCATCCCCAAGCGTGCGCTTCTTTGGGGGCATTCGCTTCGATGCAGAGGCTCCCACAGCCCATGAGTGGGCTCCCTTTGGCACCTTCCTCTTCCTCATCCCCCTCGTACGTCACTCGCACTCAGTTCTTGCTCTCTGAGTTCCCTGTGTGTTTTTTGAATTCCCAAAACCACCCTGCTCTCGCTTTCATGCAGAGGCCCGCCCTGCCCAAGAGTGGTCCCCTTTCACTCCTTTCTCTTCCTCATACCCCTCGTATGTCTCTCGCACCGCCTGTTTGCTTTCCAAGACTTCTGAAGAAGTTTGGCGAGTTAGTCTGGGATATAAGCATCAAGCTGATACTTATATCCCAGACTGTCTCCTCTCTTCAATTCCCTTCCCACGCCCAATCCTCTCCTCCTCCCACACTCGCACGCCCCTCACCCTGTCCTGTTCTCGCCCTTCACCCCGCCTGCAGGTGGAGCTGCGGGAGTGTGAGGACTGCTGTGTGCTCGCTTGCCACGTGCTCTGGGATCCCTTCTTCCAGCATGCAGCAGAACCTATAGACGCAGCAGCAGCAGCACCAGCAGAAGCAGCGGCGGCAGCAGCCGCAGAGGGGGCAGCTAGCTCTGCACCCTGTATGTCTCGGCATAGGCCAGCGACCACTGTGTTGGAGGCAGTTACAGCAGCGCTTCAGGCTCTGTCTCTGGTGAGGGCTCTTGAAGCGCCAGGATGGGTGGAGTGAGGCAATCCTTCCCTTGAGTGTTATACAATCTTTACAAAAGAAAACTACAACAGAGTGTATTCTTCACATGACAGACTTTTTGAGAGCTTTTAAATCCCAGTCCCCACCCGAACCCTATCCCCTCCCCCCATCCGCTTTTCCTCACCCACATGTTCCCTCCCCCAGGTCCGCCCTGTTTTCAGCACCCCCCATCCGCCACGCATTTCAACACAAGTCACCTCCAAAGCAGTGGCACCGGACGAGCTGCTGTGGCACCTAGCTGTAGAGCGCACACTCCAAAGCCTGGGGCACAGAGGCACACAGGGGGGCGAGAGAGACGGGCGCGCGGGAGGAGCTGGGGACGCGGAGGGAGAGATGGGGGGAGAGAGGGAGGGGCGTGGGGAGGGAGGGGTTGGGGGGCAGAGTCAGCAGATTCAACAGAGTCATCAGAGCCAGCAGAGCTGGGGTGATAAGCCGTGGATGCTTGAGCCGAGTAGGATAGACCAGATGCCTCTGTCTAAAGTGGTGATGGCTAGACGCACTGCCTTGACCACTGTTGACCCGGTTGACCCGGTTGTGCTGCTGGGAGCTCTGCAGGTGAGGCAACACATGCGCATGCACACGTGTGGTGTGGTTTGGTTGTGTTTGCTGTGGTGTGGTTATGCTTGGTGCAGCGTGGTGTGGTGTGGTGTGGTGTGGTGTGGTGTGGTGTGGTGTGGTGAGCCTCACTTCCTGATCCTTCTTTTTTCTGTCTGCCTTCTCATTCCCATCCCCTTCCCCCCCATCCCTCTCCCTCTCCCTCTCCCTCCTCACTGTAACTCCCCACCACTCTTAACTCGCGCATGTATTCACCAAACCTTCACGCCCATCCGACCACCAATTCGTCTATGCACCCATGAATGCATCAGGCAAGGGATCCCAGCGCCTTTCAGTTTCTCCTGGAGCCTCATGCAGGCTGTGCCTTTGTCTCCTCCACGGTCCGTCCCTCCCTCCATCCTCACTCAGTTGTTGTGCTCCCTTCGCCATTTGCCGTTCGCTATTCGCCCTTTGCCAGTCTTCCCCCTCTCATATGCTCAAGCTCTCCTACTCTCACTCACATCACCCTTTCCCGTTGGCCTTTATGCTCCTCTTTCATGGCACTCCCTCTTTCCCTTCCCCATCTCCCCTTCCCCCCCATTCCTTCCCCACACCCCCTGCGTTTTCTCCTCCCGTTCATTCTCCACACTCTCCCCCCTGTTTTTGCCAAACGTTCCTTCCAGAATCCCCTTCAAGTTATACTCGATTTCCTTTCAACCCTTTCGAAGCCCCTCACTACCTTCTCAACCCATTCTCACCCCCAGCCCAAGCGCCTCTTTGCGCCCAAGGGCCAGGCAGTTACAAGTTCTGAGACGTCTCAAAACTCTTCAAGCCAATCATTCCCTTCGCTCAACCCCTCCCCCCTCCCAGCCCGAGCGTCTGTTTGCGCGCAAGGGCCTGGCAGTGACGAGTGAGGCGGTGGCAGCAACGCGGGCGAGAGCTCAGGCACCAGCTGAAGACCACAGCATTGCCCTCGGTCTGCTGCTCAGGTGCGAGTGGTGTGGTGTTGAGTTGTCCTCCTCCCCCGTTTCCTGTCATTCCCTATCGTACCACCTGTTATTTCCGGTCATTCGGTTATGTTCTCTGTCATACCCCTGTGCCTTTCCCCACTTTCCCCTCCTTCCCAATCCAGCAACAAGGATCATGAGGAGTTTGAGATCGTGCGAGAGAGCGTGCACCGACATCTAGCGGTAAGCTCCGATTTTCCCTTGAGTTGATGCGAAAAACGATCATCACATCATGGCGTACTGTGTATGTGCGAGTGCATGCCTGCTGTTGCATACGCGCATGCCTGATTTTTGCATGTGTCTACACTGCGTGCAGCAGCAGACGTCCATTTCCATGTGCCATGTGTTGATCTCTTCATGTGCATGCATGTGCACGTGCGTGCGTGCGTGCGAGCGTGTGTGTGTGTGTGTTGTGCATGCCTTCTCGCATGTCTGTATGTATGCATGCATGTGTGCATGGCCAATCACTCAACGCAAACAGGGCGTGTGTGAGAGGGTGCAAGTGGAGGAGTACAAGCGGATCATATCACAGCACAGGGTGCAGCACCTCTACGCTCGCATCAATGGCCGCCTCTTCAGCACTGCAGGAGAGGTCAGCAGTCAGTCAGCCAGTTCTCTAGAGCCAGCTTAAAATTCACCTCTTGCTGACTGCAGGGGAGAGGAGGTAAGGTCACCCACGTTCCTCTCCACCACCTGCCTCGGGACATGTGATATGACACACGTCTGCCTAACCCCTTCCTTCTCTCACACACGCATGTCGCCTCCTATCAAAATCCCTGTTGCCAGAAAAGGCCAGGCCAGCCGCAGGCAGTGAGGAGGAGAATGGCTGTTGGGGCACTAAGATAGGCTTTCGACTCTACGACAGCTCGTTCTGGAAGGAACCCTTTTTGATGATTCTGGAAGGAGCAGCTGTTGTTTGGACAGGATGATTCTGACCTCTGCCCCTCCTTTCGAGGGCTTCATGGCTCGAGCTGGAAATCCAGGAGGCACACACATGCTCACCTGCTTCCCTCAACTCTCTTCCTCTCAAACGATCCTTTGTATTGATTCAGGCAGGGTACAGACAGACATGCAGTTTTATCCTGTGATATCCTTAAACCCTATTTACCCCCTCACCTCTGTCACCCCTGCCCCTTTCCCCCTCTGCGCACCTGCCAGTTCAACCTGCTGACCTCACTGCACCCAACACCAGCTGTGGCCGGCCATCCCCAGAAGCAGTCCCAGGAGGCTATCCGCTTCGCAGGTACCCTTTTCCCCTTCCACAGGGAGCAGTCCCCTTCCACAGGGAGCAGTCCCCTTCCACAGGGAGGTGCGCCCTCTCTCAATCAAGTCAAATGTCCGTTTTCTCCTCCCTGTCTGTGTTCTCACCATGGGCCATACACCCTTTTCCAACACCACGTGCAGCGCCCACCTTTTGTGCTTGCATGCAAATGCCCTCCATCCAAGTCCTTGCAGCCTAGTTCATTCAAACGAGCCCCCGTTTCTTCCAGACCCTGTTCACGTATGGCCATGCATCCAGACCCGTTAGCTCTTGAGTACACCTGGCACATTTCCCTATCCCGCCTGTCTGTTCCCCCCTCCCCTCCAACCTCAACCGCCCCCCTCTCTCTCCCATCTCCGTCCTCACCCTCTTTCATCCCCTTTTCCCCATTCACCCCCAGAGTCCTTTGACAGAGGCCTGTACGCCTGGCCTGTAGGGTGGTGGTTTCTGAGACGCTTCAAATCTCGTCCCCACCCTCCGTGCTTTCTCTTCTCCCATCTCCGTCCTCACCGCCCTTCATATCCCTTCACCTTTCCCACCCTCAGAGTCCTTTGACAGAGGCCTGTACGCCGGACCTGTAGGGTGGTTCGGCGCCGATGCTTCGGAGTTTGCAGTGGGCATCCGATCCGCGCTCGTCCAATCAGGAGCCAGCATGGCGCCATGGGAGGAGCAACCTGAGGGCATGGATGGAGAGAGAAAGGAGGAGCAAGGGGAGAGGAGGAACAAGGGTGGGGGTGGTGGGCGAGTGTTGCTGTATGCGGGAGTGGGGGTGGTGAAGGGTGCAAAGGCAGCTTCTGAGTGGAGTGAACTCAACTTGAAAACACGACAGGTGAGGTGGGGAAAGGCCTCTCATGGGGTCAGTCGCTTTCGTAATATGATAATTATTAAGAAAAGACAGCTGTGTGTTGTCTCTCTAACACCCAGCAACACCTCTGCTCGCACTTCCTTTCCCTGATCCCCGTATCCCCCTATCATCTTTCTGTTATTATGCCCTCGTCCCTTCAGTTTGAGGCGCTGCTAGGGGGAGTCCCTGTTCCTGTCCCAGGTGCAGGTGCGGGGGCAGTAGCAGCCGGGCAGGTGGATTTGGAGGGGCAGCCGAATATAAACTTTGTGTGGTGTCGCATGGCTGTGGAGGAGTGTGTGCGACTTGGGATCACGGTGGGTGCATGCATGGATCACTGCCACAGGGACACGCACACCCATGGCATGCACATGCACACACACGCATGTACCTCACACCCTCTTTTTGCCCTCCTTCCCAAGACACACACATACACCACGCACATGCATAACCACAAAAAGGCTATCAGTCTCACAGTCCCATTTCTCCACAGACCCCCCTGCCCTGTCGCCCTCGCATGCCCTCCAATCTTCCCCCTCCTTCCATCCTCCCCCACCCCCTCACAATCTCCCCACCACTCCACCCACACACCCCCCACACTCGTAATCCCCCACTCCCCATACACCTCCCCGGCCCCCCGTTCCCCTCTCAGTACTTCTGCATAGCGCCGGGGTCGCGCTCGTCCCCGCTCTCCATAGCAGCGGCTACCAACGCGCATGTGACCACCGTGGTGGCCATTGACGAGCGCTCCCTCGCCTTCCACGCCTTTGGCTACGCCCATCCATGTGCCCACCCATGGCCCTGTGGTTTTTGAGGCGCCTTATTTACCTTCTCCCCCACATTCCCTCCCACTTGCACCCACTTTCCCCCACATTCCCCCCCACCCACTCCCCTCCACACACCCCCGCACACCCCCCCACCCCCGCACTCCCCCCGTCCTCAGTACTTCTGCATAGCGCCGGGGTCGCGCTCGTCCCCGCTCTCCATAGCAGCGGCCACCAACGCACTCGTGACCACCGTGGTGGCCATTGACGAGCGCTCCCTCGCCTTCCACGCCCTTGGCTACGCCATGGCCGCCCGCCGCCCCGCTGCCATCATCACCTCCTCCGGAACTGCCGTCTCCAACCTCCTCCCTGCTGTGAGCCTCTCATCTCGCTCTTCCTGTCCACCCCTGCTGTAACCTTCTGTCCTCTGTCCCTGCCTGCTGCCCTGCCCCTGCTGTGACCTGTTCGTCTTCCTCTTCTTGCCCCTGCTGTGGCCACTCTAGCCATGAATCGAACTCACCTGACAACACATAGCGCCCTGCTGCCATCATTACATCATCTGGCCCAGAGATTCTTCCTGCAACCTCCTTCCTGCAACCTCCTTCCTGCAGTGAGCTGCTCTTCTTCCTCCTGCCTGCTCCGGTGCCACCCATAACCGCATGCCATCCCTTTCTGCACGCGCCACCACCAATATCCCCCGATGGACCATCTCAGGTGGTGGAAGCCAGTCAGCAGCACGTGCCGTTGCTCGTGCTCACTGCCGATCGACCTGCCGAGCTGCGCGACACAGCTGCAAACCAGACCATCGACCAGGTGGGTCTCCTGACGAGCCCCACCCTCCTGACCAGGTGTTATCCTGTTACAGCAGCAAACCCAATGAGCCCACCCTTCTGCGAACATACCTGTTGTACCTCTCCTTCCCCCTCTTCCCTCTCTTCCCCCTCCTTCTCAGTCTCTCTTTCTCTCTCACTCACTCTTTCAGCACACTGTCTTATCGCTGTCTCCACCTCCCCATCCCAACAAATAAGCCCTTTGGTCCCCTCCTCCCTGTATCCTCCTTGTCTGCTCCTCCTTGTCTATCCCTCTGCGCTCTGCAGGTGCATCATTTCGGGACCTTTGTTCGCTATCAAGCCGATGTTCCAGCACCTTCCGACAAGGTCCCTGCCAGGTCCGTCTCTCGTCTCTTCTTGTCTCTTCTCTTCTCTTCTCTCTTCTCTGATGTTTGAAGTACTACCTTCTTCGCCTTCTTTCTCCGCCTCTGCACTTCAAAAGAAGCAGTACACGTTTCCTATCCGCCCCGTCCACTTCCATGTATCCCTCACCCCATCCTTCCCTCCCTCTCTCCCCCACCTCCCCTTCCTCCTTCCCCCTTTCCATCCCAAACCACCAGGTTCGTCCTCACCACCATCGACACTGCTGCCTTCCGAGCCTGTGCCGAGCCTCCAGGCCCGGTGCACCTCAACTGGCAGTTCCGGGAGCCTCTGGCGCCCAGCCCACAACCCTGGAGCCGAACCTGCCTGGCAGGCTTGCATCGTTGGCAAACCTCCGTCCAGCCTTTCTCGCAACCACTTGGTGTGACCACAGCTGGTGCTGCGGTTTCTGCTGCTGTTGAGGCTGATTCCTTCGTTGCTTCGCTCCCTGCTTCTTCTCTGCGTCGCCTTGGTCTGCCTGCTTCTCTGAGTGCCGGTGTGGCAGCAGGAGCAGCGATGGGGGCAGGAGCAGAGGGAATGGGAACAGGAATGGGGAACACTGCGGCTGGCATGGGTATTCACAGGGATACGGGCATTGGCAACAGTATGGGCAGCACGAGTATGGTTACACTAAGCGCTGAGTTCCAAGATGTGCTGTCTCTTCTGCGCTCAGCAAAGCGCGGCATCATCCTGGTCGGCAGTCTGCTGTCCGCGCGCGACGCCTGGGCGGCGTCACTCGTTTGCAAGTGCCTGCAGTGGCCAGTGGCTGCTGACGCTCTCTCAGGGCTGCGAGTGTGGAGAACACGAAGGGGGAGTGGGGGAGGTGGGAGAGGACGAGAGCAAGGAGACAGAGGCGGAGTGGGAGAAAGAGGGGTGGCGGCGAGTGGGTGTGGAGGAGAGAGTGGTATGGTAGGAGCATTCTATCTGGATCATGTGTTGCTGGATAAGGGCGCAGCTGAAGCTGTGGCTCCTGATGTTGTGCTACAGGTGAGAGGGTGGTCGGGGTATGGCTGATTGATGAGAGTGGCTAGCTGGCAGCGGTATTGCAGGTAAGACTGGCCGGATGCGTATAGTTGTTGAGCTCTGAGATCTGAGACTTTCAGAACAGGTGGCGATTCAGAGCACCCTATGGTCTTCTCGAGCTTAGGGCAAGACTACCACCATGAGAAGTAGAGCAAGACTACCACCATGAGAAGTAGAGCAAGACTACCACCTGAATGCAAACTCGAAACTCAGATGCACAATAAGTCCAAACCGAAACCTTTCCGTCCATCCCTCCTTTCCCCATTTTCCTCCTTCCAGCTAGGAGGCCCTCTGGTGGGCAAGAGACTACCAGGAATGGTGGAAGCAGCAGCCACTGCTCCCCCCTCCTCCTCCTCCTCTCATCCCTTCCGTGCGTATATCCTCGTGAACCCCTCACCTCGCCGCATCGACCCTGCCCATGCTGTCTCGCACCGCCTCCACATGCCTCTCCCTGCCTTCGCCTCTGCTCTTGCAACTGCTCTGCCGTTCATGGGGCGAGCAGGGAGTGTGGGAGGCGGAGGGGGAGGAGGAGGGGGAGACGGAGAGTGGGGAGGAGAGGGAGAGAGGGATGGGGTTGTGGAGGAGGGTATGGGGCATGCAGCTCTGGTGGAGTTTCTTTCTGATGCGGTGGGTGTTGATAAGCGAGTATGTGCACATGTACGCATGCACACATGCACATGCCCATGCACATGCACTTGCACATGCACATGCACAGGCACATACGCATGCACAGCACATGACATGGCCCAGCTCATGGGCATCTAACACACGCCAGGGACCACCAGTCCTTACCACCAGGGTATCTACCTGAGAGCTTGCATGAGTGTTTGAGATTTCTATTATAGGAACCTTCTGCAACCTTTTTCTTGTGCCGCCTCTCTTTTCCACCGCTCCTCTATTTGTGATGTGATGTACCAAGGGATAGCTGACTCACTCCAGCAGCATCCCTGACTGTCCGGCATTCTGAATCACTTAGGCGGTTAGTTGAACGATAAGTCTGAGTCTCATTCTCATACCTAACCCCTTCCTCCCAGGTTGGCAAGGGGCTTTCCCTTGCTCTAAAATTCCCCTCCCAAGTTCCTGATGAAGCATGGGTAGCTCGCACCGTGGCAGCATGCCTGCCTGACGGCCATTCTGACACGTCTGCATCCCCTTACCCCACCCCTTCCTTCATTCCAGGTTGGCAAAGAGCTTTCCCTCGCTTTGAACTTCCCCTCCCAAGTGCCTGATGAAGCATGGGTAGCTCGCACCGTGGCAGCATGCCTGCCTGACGGCCATGCCCTGTTCCTGGGGAACAGCATGCCCATCAGAGATATCGACATGTACGCTGCTGCTCCCTCCTCCTCCTCCCCCTTCTCTGCCCCTCACCGCGCGCATCCCCCTGTTGCTGCGGCTTCTACTGCTGGCGCCGCTGCTGGTTCTGGTGCTATTGCTGCTGATGGTGCTGCAGCTGCAGAGAGGCTTTTGGGGACGTGGGAGGAGGGAGGTGGGGAGAGAGTGTGGGGCGGGGTGCGAGTGGCGGGGAACCGGGGGGCGAGTGGGATTGACGGAGTGGTCAGCACGGCTGTTGGCTTTGCAGCGGGCATTCAGCAACCGGTACCCATGCTGCATGCACATGCGCACGATGCATGATGTATGACTTACATTCACAATGTACACTGCAGGCTGCACGCTGCATTTCCTGTGTTGCTTGTCCCCCTGTGCTCTGCTCTGCTGCAACCGTGCTGTTTCTCCGTGCTACCCTGCCCTGCCCCAACCTGTCCACTTCCAGGTATCGCTGCTGATTGGTGACGTGTCTTTCCTGCACGACTCCAACTCACTCGCTCTTCTCTCTGCTGCCCGGTATGTGTGTATGCACCTATGGTAGCACAGGGGCATGCTGTGCTGTGCTGTGCTGTGCTGTGCTGTGCTGGAAAGCCGTATTGTATGTGATGCGTTCCTTTTACTACTCCTGTCTGCTCGTGTAGTTCTTATTCATCCGTCTTTCCATCCCATCCTTATCCCCTTCCTCCCGTCCACGCATCAGGTCAGGGCAGCCGCCGGTGGCAGTGGTGGTGGGGAACAACGGGGGGGGTGGCATCTTCAGCCTCATTAGAAGCGCCTCTATTACCTCCATTACAGACTCATCCTTCCCCCGTCCCCCTTGCCCCTCCGCGCATCAGGTCAGGGCAGCCGCCGGTGACAGTGGTGGTGGTGAACAACGGCGGGGGTGGCATCTTCAGCCTGTTGCCAGTGGCAGGCATGCTGGACTCACATGTCTTCTCTGAACTCTTCTCCACGCCGCACCAAGTGCAGCTGCACCACCTCTGCAAGGCGCACAGGTGAGGGGGATGTGGGGAGGGGGTGGCGGTGGCTTAGAATCATACAGTGGTTATGCAGCTTGTTGGCTTGTGCTTGAGTCCCTGTAGCAGTGTGCCGTGTGTGTGTGTGTGTGCTGATGAGACAGCGTGGTGATCTCGGATCGGATCTCTTCTCCACGCCGCACCAAGTGCAGCTGCACCACCTCTGCAAGGCGCACAGGTCAGAGGGCACAGCAGATGTGCTTTCGTATCAAACAGGTAAGTAACCAGCCTGTTGGCTCGTGAGTCGTGAGTATCTGTATGCATGTAGCGTCGCACTGTGTGTGTGAGCTCGTGGAACGTGTGCTGCTCTTCGAACTCTTCCCCACACCAGTCCGACAGGACAGGACCGTCACACACGCGGTGGTGGAGGTGCAGGTTCCCCCCATCCACCTCAACGTGCTCTCCCACCGCCTCCTGCAGGCCGCTGCTAGGACCACTGCTGCTGCTGGCAGTGCTGCTCCCCCTCGTTCTCCCTCCCGCCGTTCCAAAGCCAGGAAGAAGTGCGTGCAGTTCGTCTCACCAGTTTCAGATCCTCCTCTCCCGGTTCCCCCTTCTCCCCTACCCGCTCCCTCCGCCCCCCCCCCTCCCAGAGTGGCGTATTTCCGGGCCACCACGCGCACCTCCCTCCTCTCGTCCCTGCAGGCAGCATGGGCCACGCATCGCCATGCGGTGGTGGAGGTGCAGGTTCCCCCCATCCACCTTAACGTGCTCTCCCACCGCCTCCTGCAGGCCGCTGCTAGGGCGACTGCTGCCCGTGCTCTCTCGCTGTTTCAGAGCCAGAGGGACGGGCGTGCTGGGCTGGAAGGGGAGAGGGGTGGGGGAGAGGAGGGGATTGGGTTGGGAGCGGGGGTTGCTGGTGGCGAGAGCGGAGACGGCAGCGGAGAGGGGAGCAGGGAGGGGAATAGAGAGGGGAGCAGGAAGGGGAGCGGTGGGAGGAATAGTGGATCACTTGTTGTGGCAGAGACCAGTATTGAACGAATCAGGTGAGTGGAAGGACAGGGAAGGGGGAAAGGAAAATGGAAGGGAGGAGTGGGAGGGGAGGTGTTGAATTGGGAGGGCCTGTGCTTTAAACACGCTGCTTGATGTTGCTAGCATGCTGCTGACATCCTTGCTTGGTTTGTTTAGTCTTTCCTCCCCTTGTTCCTTTCCTCGCCTCCGTTCCATCCCCTCTGCTTCCCTTCAAAAGCATCTCTGTCTTTCCCTTGACTTCACAGCATCCCTCCCTAGCCTCACCTCCTGTCCGCTTGCTCCCTTCTCCCACTTCCCTCTTCTCCGTCTTCCCTGCCTCTCCAACCTCCCGTCCTTTGCTTCCCGCCAGGGTGGTTCTGAGGGAGCCCCCAACGTCAGTGGCTGTGGCTGGAGCAGCACTGCCGCAGTCAGAAAGGGAGGGGCTGCTGTTGCATGTGCGCCTGGAAGGGGGCGCTCTGGGCACAGGCGAGGTAGGTTGTGAGAGCGTATGTTTTTGGAGTGACTTTTGAGAATTCTCAAAAGTCACTCCAATATGGAAGGGGACGCTCTGGGCACAGGCGAGGTAGGTTGTGAGAGGAGTGAGTGGTGGTGTTTGAGGTTGATTTTGAGAATTCTCAAAATCAACCTCAAACAAAACGGTTGTGAGTGCGTATGTTTTTTGAGAATTCTCAAAAAAACAGGCGAGGTAGGTTGTGAGAGGAGTGAGTGGTGGAATGGTGGGGGTGAGGTGAAATGGTCTTGTGTACAGGGTCTAAGGGTCTTGTGATTACGTGGAAGGAGGTGGTTCTGGGCACAGGTGACGTAGTGGAAGAGGCATGGGTGGTGGGGTTGTGCTGGTGGTGGGGTTGTGCTGGTGGTGGGGTGGTCTCAATAGTAAGCGTCTTGAGTCCTGCTAACAGAACCCTTCAACCCGTCCCACAGGTCTCCCCTCTCCTATGCCTGCATCCAGAGTCCCTCCTAGACGCTCAAGAGCAGCTGTGTCTGCTCTTGTATGTGTTGAGGAAACTCACTCACAACACGCCCACATCTCCACATCCTGCAGGTCTCCCCTCTCCCGGGTCTCCCCTCTCCCACGTCTGCAGGAGTCCCTCCTCCTAGACGCGCACGAGCAGCTGTACCTGCTCTCCCACAATTCTGCTCCCGTGTTCTTCCTGCAATTCTCCCCGGTCCCTCCCCCACATCCCACAGGTCTCCCCTCTCCCAGGCCTGCATCCAGAGTCCTTCCTAGACGCGCACGAGCAGCTGTGTCTGCTCTCGCACCGCCTCCCAGGCCTCGCCTTGCCTCTCTCCCTCCCGCTGCTCAACGGATCCTTCTCCCTCTGGATTTGGCACGATCTCGGCATTCAGGTGGGAACGGTCTCTGTGTTCATGTGGGACTGAAGTTGTTGCTGAGGCGTTTCGGGGTCGCTACTAGAGTCTAGATACACACGAGCAGTCCGGCCAGCTCTTGCCTTACCACTCTCCCTGCCGCTGCTCAACGGCTCCTACTCCCTTTGGATCTGCCACAGTCTTTGTGTTCAGAATTTCTAGGCGCCTCAAACATGCTCCCGGCATTCAGTTGTGAATGGTCTCAGTGTTGAGTGGTCTCAGAATTCGCTCCTCTCCTTTGCTTCCCCTCCAATGCTACCCTTTCCTAGCACGTCACCCTGCACCTCCAGCCGTCACACACACTTCTTCCTTTCCCACCTTCCTCATGGCCCTGCTCCCACGCGCCCTGTCTCTTTCCTCCTTGTCTTCTGACTGGCCTTCTGTTCTCACCCATCCGCCCACCCGCCCGCCCACCTGCCTACCCTCCCACCCACCCCCCCTTCTTCCCCCTCTCCCAAGCAGCCAGCATCTCTATATTCAAGCGTGAGGGCTGGCCTTGAGGCCGCATGCCTTTCTGCCATAGCTTCTGCCCACAACACCTCCCTCTCCCACCTCCTCTCGCAATCCCCTGCTCCTCCTCCTGCCACTAATACTCCCGCTCCTCCTCCTCCTCCTTCGATGCTACTCCCCCCTCCTCGAAAACAACCCCCCGGGCTGACCCACCGGGTGCGAGTGCGGTGCTGCGGGTTGCTGGACGGTTCCAGGGGGTCCATTCCCTCCGTGTCCCGTGCAGCAGCGCACCTAGTCCACTCCCTCGGCTTCACAGCCCTCAAAATCAAAGTAGCCAGACGCGCTTCCCCATCAGAAGACGCAGCAATGGTGCTGGCTGTCCGTGAAGCAGTAGGCCCGAGAATCCACCTCAGAGTCGACGCGAATCGAAGCTGGTCCTTGCCACAAGCTGTGGAGTTCGGCCGGCTTGTAGCATCCTGCAACCTGGCCTTCATAGAAGAACCGGTTTCGAATCTGCATCTTCTTTCCGAGTTCTACCAGGCAACCGGTCTCCCTTTCGCTCTGGACGAGTCTTTAGACGACGCGCTTCTCCTCCCGCCTTCCCATGACACTCCCACTCTCGCGCTCCCCGCTTCTCTCGACTGGTCGGGGTTGGCAGCAGTCGTTGTGAAGCCGTCTAGACTGGGCGGCATGGAGGCGGCGGCAGTGGCGGCCAGATGGGCGGCGTTGCTCGGCGCAGAGTGCATCGTGAGCTCGTCGTTTGAGTCCCGGCACGGGCTTGCTTTGCTCTGCCACTTTGCTGCTTTCCTCGACACGCACCCGTTCCCGTCCCCGCAACCATCGCAAGCACAGGATTCTGGTTCGTCAAGTCCCCCTGAGTCTCCTCCTGCGTCTCCCACTGCTGTGGTTCATGGGCTCGGTACTTTCCAGTGGCTTGTGGATGGATCAGGAAGGGAGGAGGAGGGGGAGGAGGCGGATGAGGAGGGGGAGGCGGAGGGGAAGGGTAAAGAAGTGGAGTGGGGAGAGCAGAGAAGTGCGTATGCGGAAGGGTTGGATAGGGTTTCCCGTTCTCCTCCTCTCTTAATTGATGAGAGGAGTTCAGACGGCCAGCTTGGAGTGCTGCTTTCCGCGCGATCTGGTGTTGGTGGGGCCAGTGGGATGCTGACATGTGGAGTGCATGGCACGTCAGATTCAGCTGCTGTTGTGGGGACAGAAAGGGAGAGAGCTGCTTCCAGGGATCAAGAAGCAACAATTAGGAAAGAGGCAGAATCGACAGCAGAAGGAGCAGCAGAGTTAGCAGCACAGTTAGCAGCAGCAGCGAGTCCAAAGTGGGAAGAACGCAGAGAAACAGTAACGCTAAGCAACGGGGGAACGGTTGACTTCAACATCCTAGTAACACCTTCCTCCTCGCACTCTTCCTCCCCGCACTCCTCCCCAGACTCTCCTCTCTCTTCCTCTAGATCGTCTCTCCCTCCAGCCACCCCCCCACCAACTCTCGTCTTCCTACACGGTTTCCTTGGCACGCTCGCTGACTGGCTTCCCCTTGCCGACTCCCTCTCTCTCTCCTTCCCTTGCGCCCTCGTAGACCTACCCGGCCATGGTTCCACCACTGTCGCCCTCCCTGCACATCCCACCATCTCAGAGCCCCCTTCCTCCGCCACTGGTCCTGCACACTCCTCCACTCTAGCCTCCTCCGCGTCCTCTCACTCCTCTCCTCTTCCTCCGGCCCTTTCTTTTGAAGAAACAGCATCTGCTATTGCATCGCTGCTTGCCCAACTGCAAGAAACCGCAGCTGCACACCAGCAGCAGCAGCAACAAGGAAAGGTAGTGCTCGTGGGATACTCCATGGGGGCTCGTCTCGCCCTCTACTTAGCTCTCCGCAATCCACACCTGGTGAGACAACATGCACCTGGTGAGACAACATGCACCTGGTGAGACAACATGCACCTGGTGAGACAACATGCACCTGGTGAGACAACATGCACCTGGTGAGACAACATGCACCTGGTGAGACAACATGCACCTGGTGAGACAACATGCACCTGGTGAGACAACATGCACCTGGTGAGACAACATGCACCTGGTGAGACAACATGCACCTGGTGAGACAACATGCACCTGGTGAGACAACATGCACCTGGTGAGACAACATGCACCATGCCCACTCACCATTTCTTACGGCGCGTCAATCTTTGACAAAGTAATAAAGGCTCCTCTCGCCCTCTATCTGCCTCCCCGCCATCCACACCTGGTGAAAGCAGAGCCTACTCTCCTTGAAACAATTTGTACCATCCTCGTGAACAATCCATGAAACACTTTTTGAGGGGCCCCAAACCAAGCGGGTCTAATCAGTCCTCTCCTCCCTCTCTCATTCCATCTCCTCGTATACCCCATCCCCAACTTCATCCGTCTCAGATTCCCACATGGCACATGTCATACACTCCCCTCCACACCCATGCCATGTCCGCACCCTGTTCTCGCAGGTCTCGTCAGCGGTCATCATATCGGGAAGCCCGGGGATCAGAGAAGCAGCCGCTCGTGCTGCTCGTGCGGAGAGTGACGATTCGCTAGCAGCAGTGCTGACGGCGGGTGGGCTGGAGCAGTATGTTCACTCGTGGTACCAGCAACCACTGTGGGCCAGGTATGGCATCTTGGCTCCTGCTTTAAGAAATTGTTTTGACAAATAAGTTGAGGGCTAGGTGCGGAGAGGAGAGTGATGATTCGCTAGCAGCAGCGCCGATGGCTGGTGGGCTGGAGCAGTATGTTCACTCGTGGTACCACCAACCACTGTGGGTCAAGTGAGAGAGTCATAACCTTTTGCCTGAATGATCTATATTGGAATTGCTTTTGAGAAATCTCAAAAGCAACTTCGATATAACTTGTGACCTGGAGCAGTATGCTCACTCGTGGTACCAGCAACCACTGTTGGCCAGGTTAGAGCTTCAAGCAAGTGAGTCACAACCTTTTCCTTGAGGTAGGTTGGAGGCGTTATAACTTCTGGATAGTGTTTCTGCCATGCATACAGATTTGCGCATTGCTTGCAGCTCATAAAACCACCCTCTGCAAAGTACACCTCCTCCCCCCCTCCGCCCCCCCCTCTGTTAACAACCCTCGCTCTCCTCCCTCTCTCTCGAATGGTCCTTGCATTAATTAAAGGGTGGTACAAGTTACATGCACTAAACTCCCTCTCTCTCTCTCTCCTTTCCCCCCCACCCCCCCAACAGCCTGCGCACCCACCCATGCTTCCAGCCCATGCTTGCCCGCCGCTTCGCCTCCTCTCCCTCCGCCTCCCACACTTCTCCCCGCACTGACGGCACCGGTCCACCCATGGTGGTGTTTCCTGGGGGCACAGAGGCAGGCCTGGCCATGGCTCTCAGAGGACTCAGCACCGGAAGACAACCGTACGTTTTGTAGTAGTTGAACTTCTCAGCAGTCGTTCTCCAGTTTCTTTTGAGTCGACTCAACAGTCACCTTGAAGACAACCGTACGTTTTGTACTAGTTCAACTTCTCAGCAGTCGTTCTCCTGTTCTCAGTTGCGGGTTGCCTGCTTTGCACTGTACATCGGCTCCACTGTATCGCTCTTCAGAGTCCCCTGCAAGCTGTCACTGTGGCTCTCAGAGGCCTGACTGAGCACTGGAAGACAACCGTGCTCTCATCACTGTCAAAGCCTCATATGTACCCACCCACCTCCCTCCCTCTCTCCTATCCTCACCTCTCCTCCTCGCAGTTCGCTCTGGGACGAGCTCACCACCTCGTCCACGCCACTGCTGCTCGTGGCTGGCTCCCTCGACTCCAAGTTCGTCTCTATCGCCCACCAGATGAGCACAGCCACAGCTGCCCCTGCAACAGCAGCAGCAGCAGCAGCAGCAGCAGCAGCAGCTTCAAGCAGCGGCCGTGCCAGCACCCTGCAGCAGGAGCAGGAGGACCGGGAGCAGCAGGAGCAGGAGGAAGAGGAGCAGGAGCTTTTCTTCCCAGCTGGTTCGCCAGTGGAGAGCCGAGACTCAGACTTTCCTTTCTCTCTCAACCTGCCTAGCGTTGCCGCATTTAAATCTGCTATCCTGGGCGGGCAGGCATGGGAGGAGGAGGAGGAGCAGCAGTACGAGGGGAACGTGGTGGGGGAAGGGGACGAGTTTGAAGAGGAGATTGGGGTGAATGGGAGTGTGGGTGGGAGTGGTGGTGGTGACGGTGGTGGGAAGCGGCGCAGCAGCAGGTTTGATGGTGCGTGGGCGGCAGATATGAAGCGAGTGCACCTGGAAGAGTCGCTTGGTGCTGCTCCAGGTAAGACTTTTGAGGCGCCTTAAAAGGCACAGCAGCAGGTTTGATGGTGCGTGGGCGGCAGACATGAAGCGAGTGCATTTGGAGGAGTCGCTTGGTGCCGCTCCAGGTATGGGCTTGTTGTATTAAAACACACACACACACACACACACACACTCACACACACACACACGTACACACCCGCACGCACGCACACGCACACACGTATTTATGGGCTTTCTTCATATCATGGCTGTTCTGGACCGTGTGTCACACAACCCTCTACTTCCCGCCTTTTCTCCTTCCATGATTCCTCCTTTAGCATTACCTCTCTTTCCCACCACTTGCCTGTTCCCCCCTTCCCGTCTTCTCGTTTTTCCGTCCACCCAAAACCAAACATGGCTTCTCCAGACTTATCGACAAACGACAAGTCATTGGGGCTCCCCATAGAAGCAGCCAAGGCTGTTCTTATAACGGGCGGTGCAGTGAGCGTGGCAATAGTGGACGTAGCAGGGCATGCCATTCATGAAGAGAGGCCCGAGGCGTTGCTTCCGCTTATTCGCCTCTTCGCATCGAATGTTGGTAGTCAGGCTGGTGCGGAGTAATGAAGCTTATGCATTCGTTGAAGTTAGGAATGATAGCAGAAATTATATCTTATCAACGCATCTGTTCAAGCTTTTGCTGGACCTTGACTTGACAATCACCCACTGTATTCAAAATTGTTCAAGACGAGTGTACTCACTTTCCTCTTTTGTTTCCAGTCGTGCAGAGATTTCCATCCGCACTTTCTCCTTGTGTCGAATCACAAGAATTGCGAATCAAGAATCTGAACGCAATCTGCACTCACACGAGTCTCTTGTCTCGTCTCGACATTTTTTAGTCGACTCAAGAATTTCCCTTCCCCACCACTCTTCAGCCCTTCCGCTTTCTTCCTCTCGCCGCCTTCCGCCTGCCGCGTTTTCTCCGCATTCCTAGTCTTCCTCCGAAAGCGCTTTCCGCCCAATGGCGGCCGCTTACTCGCTCTGCTCCCCGCGTCTCGCGACATTGGATTCGGCGCGCATTGTCCCGCGCACGTCCCCGCGCAATGCGGCACGTGCCGTTACCCGCACGCCCCCGCATTCTCTTGCGTCACTGCCCCTATCATCTTCCCCCGCTTTCCGCCAAAGACTCACTCCGCACGGATTAAATCCGCAGGCAACGGAAAAGACTCTCTATGGGGGGAGCACGCAATGGGAAGAACCGGCTTTTTCCTTGCGCTCTTCCCCGCGCCGTTCCCCCACCCTCCGCGTATCCGCATCTGCGCGCCCGTCCGAGGGGAATGCCGCCCTCCCAGCCATTCGGTTCCGCCCAGCCGTTCCCGAGGACATGGAGACGATCCAACGGCTGGTGTTGTCTGAATTGTAATGAGACATGGTTCTTCGCTCTGAATCGTAATGCCAGTATTAGCTTAGATTTATTCTACATTGGCTTTATCCACTCACTCACTCGTTCACTCTCTCTCTTTGCTTAATCTTTGACCGATTCTTTCAATGTCATGCACGAAATGTGTGCGTTGCTAAGGTATTGAACCCCCCTCTACAGATTGCTCCTGGAATGAGCATCATTCTTCCCTCCCCTCCTCTGCCCCACACTTTGTCCCCACGAACCATACAGCATGAATCCATTAAGCCTGGACGTCTGGCGCTTTGTGGTGGCTGAGGCATCAACAACAGCAGCAGCAGAGGGAGCAGGAGAGGGGGAGAAGCGGAAGGAGGGGGGGGCGCAAGCAGGGTGGCAGTTGGTGGGTGTGGGGCAGATGAAGGAGTGGAAGAAGGAGGGTGAAGCGGGGACAGGCTCTGGGCCTCTTGTTGAGTTAAGGAGCCTCGTGGTGCTACCGGAATTGCGGTAAGTTAATGGGAAGGCACAGGCTGCTAGGAACCGAACCACAGGGTCTGAGGTACTGGGAAATTTTAGAGGGAGGCAATAGGAAAGACACTGGGAAAGAGGATGGCTTCAGCTTTAGCAGTGCACGCCCATGCCCATGCCCATGGCATGCCCATGCCCATGCCCATGCCCATGCCCATGCCCACGCCCATGCCCACGCCCATGCCCATGCCCATGCCCACGCCCATGCCCAAGTCAAACCTTTCTGTCCCAACCGCTCTGCACTCCATCTCCCTACGTCCTCTCTTTCTCCCAGAGGCCGTGGGATTGGGTCCGCACTGGTATCAGAGCTGCTCAAGTCCGTGCAAGGCAGAGGCGCCGTGTACTTGCTCACAATAGGGACCAGGTGTGTTCTGATGGGGATTGTATGGCGAGCACACAGGTATGTTCTGATGGGGATTGCATGGCGAGCACACAGGTATCTTCTGATGGGGATTGTATGGCGAGCACACAGGTATGTTCTGATGGTGATTGTATGGCGAGCACACAGGTATGTTCTTATGGCACGCAGGTGCAACCTTCCTGTGAGCATGCAGGTACTACTCCCTCTTCTCCCTCGCACTCTCCCTCCCCTTTTGCTCACACTGTCCATGTCCTCTTCACTATCCATGTCCACTTCACTATCCATGTCCTCTTCACTATCCATGTCCACTTCACTATCCATGTCCACTTCACTATCCATGTCCACTTCACTATCCATGTCCTCTTCACTATCCATGTCCACTTCACTATCCATGTCCTCTTCACTATCCATGTCCACTTCACTATCCATGTCCACTTCACTATCCATGTCCATTTCACTATCCATGTCCTCTTCACTATCCATGTCCACTTCACTATCCATGTCCTCTTCACTATCCATGTCCACTTCACTATCCATGTCCTCTTCACTATCCATGTCCACTTCACTATCCATGCCCACTTTTCTATCCATGTCCACTTCACTATCCATGTCCACTTCACTATCCATGTCCACTTCACTATCCATGTCCACTTCACTATCCATGTCCTCTTCACTATCCATGTCCACTTCACTATCCATGTCCACTTCACTATCCATGTCCACTTCACTATCCATGTCCACTTCACTATCCATGTCCACTTCACTATCCATGTCCTCTTCACTATCCATGTCCACTTCACTATCCATGTCCTCTTCACTATCCATGTCCACTTCACTATCCATGTCCTCTTCACTATCCATGTCCACTTCACTATCCATGTCCACTTCACTATCCATGTCCACTTCACTATCCATGTCCACTTCACTATCCATGTCCTCTTCACTATCCATGTCCACTTCACTATCCATGTCCTCTTCACTATCCATGTCCACTTCACTATCCATGTCCACTTCACTATCCATGTCCACTTCACTATCCATGTCCTCTTCACTATCCATGTCCACTTCACTATCCATGTCCTCTTCACTATCCATGTCCACTTCACTATCCATGTCCACTTCACTATCCATGTCCATTTCACTATCCATGTCCTCTTCACTATCCATGTCCACTTCACTATCCATGTCCTCTTCACTATCCATGTCCACTTCACTATCCATGCCCACTTTTCTATCCATGTCCACTTCACTATCCATGTCCACTTCACTATCCATGTCCACTTCACTATCCATGTCCACTTCACTATCCATGTCCTCTTCACTATCCATGTCCACTTCACTATCCATGTCCACTTCACTATCCATGTCCACTTCACTATCCATGTCCACTTCACTATCCATGTCCACTTCACTATCCATGTCCTCTTCACTATCCATGTCCACTTCACTATCCATGTCCTCTTCACTATCCATGTCCACTTCACTATCCATGTCCTCTTCACTATCCATGTCCACTTCACTATCCATGTCCACTTCACTATCCATGTCCACTTCACTATCCATGTCCACTTCACTATCCATGTCCTCTTCACTATCCATGTCCACTTCACTATCCATGTCCTCTTCACTATCCATGTCCACTTCACTATCCATGTCCACTTCACTATCCATGTCCACTTCACTATCCATGTCCTCTTCACTATCCATGTCCTCTTCACTATCCATGTCCTCTTCACTATCCATGTCCACTTCACTATCCATGTCCACTTCACTATCCATGTCCACTTCACTATCCATGTCCACTTCACTATCCATGTCCTCTTCACTATCCATGTCCACTTCACTATCCATGTCCTCTTCACTATCCATGTCCACTTCACTATCCATGTCCACTTCACTATCCATGTCCACTTCACTATCCATGTCCTCTTCACTATCCATGTCCACTTCACTATCCATGTCCTCTTCACTATCCATGTCCACTTCTCTATCCATGTCCACTTCACTATCCATGTCCTCTTCACTATCCATGTCCACTTCACTATCCATGTCCACTTCACTATCCATGTCCTCTTCACTATCCATGTCCACTTCACTATCCATGTCCTCTTCACTATCCATGTCCACTTCTCTATCCATGTCCACTTCACTATCCATGTCCACTTCACTATCCATGTCCACTTCACTATCCATGTCCACTTCACTATCCATGTCCTCTTCACTATCCATGTCCTCTTCACTATCCATGTCCACTTCACTATCCATGTCCTCTTCACTATCCATGTCCACTTCACTATCCATGTCCACTTCACTATCCATGTCCACTTCACTATCCATGTCCACTTCACTATCCATGTCCACTTCACTATCCATGCCCTCTTCACTATCCATGTCCACTTCACTATCCATGTCCTCTTCACTATCCATGTCCACTTCACTATCCATGTCCTCTTCACTATCCATGTCCACTTCACTGTCCATTTTCCCTGTTTTCCGTTGTTTCATTCCTTCATGTCTTTTGCCATTCTCTTCTTCTATGTTTTCTCCATCCCTGAACTCTACTCCAAATACCTTAGGCATTTTCTCTCTCGATTGCCTGTTCCTTAGCCTGTGTGTCCTCCTCACTGTGCTGTAAAAAATGTGGCAGGACGGCCTTTTATGAGAGGCATGGCTTCAATGAGGTGAGATTCTCTCGAAAACTCAAGGGAACCTTTTGCAGATATGCATGCTACCACGTCTCTTGCTTCCAAGCTTCAAACTCATGTCTTGCCTTCAAAGTTTTCCTCTCATCTCCTCTCCTCTCCTCTTCTCTCCTCTCCTCTCCTCTCCTCTCCTCTCCTCTTCTCTCCTCTCCTCTCCTCTCCTCTCCTCTCCTCTCCTCTCCTCTCCTCTCCTCTTCTCTCCTCTCCTCTCCTCTCCTCTCCTCTCCTCTCCTCTCCTCTCCTCTCCTCTCCTCTCCGCCTCGCAAGGGCACCTTTCTCACCCTGCCTTAGCACTCACTCACTCCCTCCCATTCTGTTGATTATCTCGGATCAACTGCAGGTGGCTGCTGGTGCGGTGCCGTCTCAGCTCCAGTTGGAGCTTTTCCTCGGTTCCTTTGTTGCTCGCCTTGCTGCTGGTGACAGGTGCCTCTGCATGAAAGCAGTGGTGTGATTCTTGTGTTATTCAACTGTCAACAACACTTGGTTTTGTGTCAGAATCAGAAGATGAAACTGGTCATTAGCTGTGGTTCGCTTGAGCTGAAACATGCAGCCAGCCAAACCCTACCGGAACCAACCACAGAACGGAATCTGTTCAATCTGGGCTTATCAGCATAACAGCATAACACTAGGGGGGAAATGGGGGAATCAGGGGGAGTTTGGTTTTTTACCTTGTACTGACTAGATGCGTTAGGCTGTTGTTACATTACTTGATGGATGTGGTAACAAGAGATAATCACCACACATCTCTTCTTTTGTGACTGTACATGAAAACGAGTCGGCTACCGTATTAGTGACGACGATTTATAACAAATCTCTTCTCAGTGGTTTGGAGCAAGTGTTGTTTCCGTGTGATGGAGGTGTGCCTGAACTTGCACTATCTGATCTCGTGGTTTGCGTGTTAGACGTACGCAGCACGCAACGCAAAAGCTTGGTCAGATATATATTATTCAACCTAGTCCAACATAACCCCACAGCTAGCTAGCTTCAACAACAGACACCCCAACCTCTACGTAATTCAAGACACTAAGAAACCGAAACCCCAATACACCCATGAAGAGGAGCGAGGCCTAAACAGAGAATCAAGCGGTGCCCAGGCGAGGCCATAACCTCCAATTACGGAACAGCCTACAACCCAACCATTTGGGAGCACCAAGCTCAAATCGATTAATCGATTGCACTAACGAGTCTAAGACGTCTGGAAGATGACGCAGCGACGGTCTTCGGGGAAGGAAGAGGAGCCGTCGTTGGGGTTGAGGTTGAACACCTGGTTGTAGACCTCAATCTCCGCGTTCGAAATGGGGATCTTGACGTACAAACCGTTGTACGTGCCGTTGTCCTGCGGTTGAATCGTCCGCACTTGCACCACCTGCGACCCACGGAACGACGCGTTGAAGAAATCGCAAGTTCGCAACCACACGGTAAATATATCTACAGCAATGCAGACGCGGATGCTAATTGGACAAGGTATCCTGCAGTAGACTTACATCCTGAACGACGTAGAACTGGTTGTTGTCGGGAATAGAGGCGCTGTTGCAAATGTACTTGGTCGTCTGCGAGTTGAGCGCGATCACGTTCACAACGCTCCCCTTCACCGAAGCCTCGATAGCCGGGCTGATCGCCACGTCACCGCCGCCCGATGGCAGCGTGAACGTCGGCACGGAGTTCTGGAAACCCGTGAAGTAGAAGTCGCACTCCGTGCCGGTGGGGGGGCATTCACCCCCGGGGGGCGGGGGAGGGGGGGAAGATCCGCTCGCGGACGCCTGCGCGGGGACGACCGGGACGTCGCCGGAAGTAGTGGCGGGATCGCCACCAGCCGTGCTATCACGGGGTTCGGGAACCGGGACAGGGTCGGTCACAGGGGCAGGGTCGGTCAAAGGGGCAGGGTCAGTACCGGTGGCAGGGTCGGTAACGGTGGCAGGGTCGGTACCGGTGGCAGGGTCGGTAACGGTGGCAGGGTCGGTAACGGTGGCAGGGTCGGTAACGGCGGCAGGGTCTTCAGGAGCGACGGTATCGGCGGGAGTGTCGGGAATGACCGTCGATGAGTCAATAGGCACGTCGGAAGGGCCGCCTTCCTGAGTGATCTCAGCCGTTGCAGCCTCTTCGTGCTTCGCCTTTACCGTCGTTGGAACGACGATCTGCGAGTCGCAAGAGGACAGAGAGCCGCATGAGACGGTTACGAGATAAACGCTTAATTTTTTAGAGGGAATATTACTAGAAAAGGAACATTGATTGAGACGGAGGAGGCGTTGCAAGTGTTTTCGGAATGCCGCGTGCAGCGCAGATCCGCACCTTGGCAGAAAGGCCTGGAAGCTTGGGAAAGAGCTTGTTGTGGTCATCCTGTAACATCTGCAATCACCAAGAGATGATAAAGCCAAGCTTTCAAGACGAGCTTTTATTCTTCACGCGGAAGTCACGCGCGCAACGACGGTTGCACATGATTGGAGCTGAAGGAAAAAAAAAACAACAAAAATGAGCTGATGCGCGAAAGCTTAAGAGCGCGCTACGAGGTACTGACTCGAGATGAGCGGAAGGCGTGACAAGGCAGCGAAGCAGCCAGCAGCACAACCGCGAAAAAAAGAAGAGACTTGGACATGGCTGCTATCTGTACTGAGCAGCACCACCACGATAAATGCCTGAGACGAAGCGGCTGTGAGTATCTGCACTGCGTAACTACTGAAATCGAGTAATGGGACCAACCACTGAGGATAATAGAGAGTTGGGTGATACTAGCCAGCAGGTGCTGGTTGGGATGGGAATGAAGAGCAAGTCAGCTGGAACTGGTTTACAAGAACAAGCAAGGGTGAGGGGATAAAAGGGTTCGAGACAGGGATGATGTTGAGGGTCCAATCGAAGCGCTGGGAAGCAGCGTGGGATTGATCTAGGTTGATACTGAACCATCCGCCGATGACCACGGGCGGTCCGGACCCCTCAAACGAAGAAAAGGCGCAACGCAAGGGTTCGTTGTCGGAGCGCCTTGCTTTCACGACAATCTCATCTGCGCTGCAGAAAGTCAGCAAAAGTTGATGTAACAACGAGGGTGGCAATGTCTTCGCGAAAATGAATTTGACACAAGCTACACGATGTTGATACTACCCCAACAGATTTGTAAGTCATGTGTGCCGGTACCGATGCAATTGAGTGAGCAAACGAAGATTGCACTATCGAAACAAAGCATAACATTGAGCGAAGGAATTGTTGCGATCAGAAATTGATCGCCCCTAGGATCACCTCGGGAAGGTTCGCAGAGAATGTGTGGTAGTGGTGGGCCCTTGACCTCGGATCAGAGTGGATATAAAATGACTTAGATGGTTAAAAGCATGCAAATACAATCATATAAATAAGAGTACAAGGGAATGTGAAACGACCTAGACTAGCCATGTACTCTAAGGGGTACATTCCGTTATTGCAGCGAAATCCAACCGTGCGAATCCAGATGGTTACAGACTGTTCCGGCAGAATCCTCGCCACTTCTGCTGCTTGATGCGGTCTGCCTTAACAGTCAAGATCTTTCGTAACCGTGCGCGACTCTTCCGTCATTTCGTCTCTTCGTCTTCAGTTTCGGTACTGCGTGCTTCGCTTGTTGTTATCAAGAGTGCACAGTGTGAAGAAATGAGGAATGAATGAACTAGGAAATGAGTTGGGTACAAATATGAAACCCTAGAAAGTTGTACCCCATACTGTCTGTGAAAATGAAACGAGGAATGATTGAACTGAGCAGCATGAGAAGTACAAGTACCAAACCCTAAAGTGTTGTACCCCATATGAGCTACCCCACTACAGCCTACACAGACTATAGTGTATGAGTTTGACACACCCCCATAGGCAAAGTGGGGGAGAGCAAGGGGTCACAAGACCAGTCAAGCAAAGCAAGGCAAAGCAAGCTCAGGGTGGATCACAACGTCACCACACATCTGAGCACAAGTTCAAGGCCACAAGGCCAGTTCACATGCAAGATTACATATATATAAGGCTAAACAAGCAAGAGCAGGTATATATATATGTAACAGTACAAACAAGGTCAAGAAGTGAGCAAGTGAGGCAAGGTAGGCACAAGGCCCAGCTGAGTACAGAAGCGCTGATGATCACAAGGCGCGAGTGCCTTGGTGAAGATATCAGCAGTGTTGGCCTGAGAGGCCACGTACGCAAGTCGCAGCTGACCACGCTGCTGTAGCTCACGAGCTAAGAAGTAGCGAAGAGCAATGTGCTTCGTTCTGTGCTCCAGTCTCTGCTCCCGACACAAGGCCAGCATGGCCTTGTTGTCTACGTACAGCACTGGAGGAGAACGAGGCGGCTCTCCGAGGTCAGTCAGCAGGTAGGTGAGCCAGCGAAGCTCCTGTGCAGCCATGGCCCCTGCGTAGATCTCAGCCTCACAACTGGAGCCGAGAACAGAAGACGAGCGGGTAGCCCGCCACGAAACAGAGCCGGAACCAAGGCTGAAGGTGTAACCCTGTGACGACCGCTGCGTAGCCTGGTCGTCAGCCCAAGAAGCGTCTGCGTGCCCAGTGAGGACCACTGGACTCTGCCCTCCAAGCACAAGCCCCATGCCCGACGTACTGCACAAGTAGCGCAACACCCTCTTCGCTGCAGCCATGTGCTCCGGTCTGTGTCTCCCAGGAGCAACATAGCGTGCGAGAATGCTAAGAGGGTATGCAAGGTCAGGTCGTGTGCAGGTCATCAGGTACATGAGGCAGCCAACAAGCTCTGGGTACGGGCCACTCGACTCTACGGACTCATCCGAAGGCAGAGCTGAGAGCGAGTGGCGAGTAGGCAGAGGAGTGGCCTGAGGCGAGGAGTACGTGAAGCCGAAGCGCTGAAGGACCTGCTGCACCATGTGTGACTGAGTCAGGGTAATGGTGCGGCGTGCTCTGTCCCGGGTGA